CAATTCTGTTCTTTTCAGGATCCGTTTGGTGGCTGCAGAGTTGGAGTGGAATTTCAGTTGGAAACATGTGGGGATTAGATTTTGATCTCGGCAGTTGCGTAGGAATGCGAGGTCGCATAAAATGGAAGCTCTTTGGACTTCAAGTTTTTCATAGGTCCTGGTCAGATGGTGGATTTCCTCCCCGTAGAGGTTCAATATTTGGTATGACACCCAATGTGTAATAACCACTGAGACTACCACCATAACTGGTTTATGTGATAATGTTTCAACTTTGATTTACAAATCTTGATACTTCTGATCTTTTCCAATTCTATTTTACTATTCACTAGTATTGCCACAAATTATCCACAGTCTTCTTTTATTATTATAGTTAATTGCATAGTGGGCTAGGTGTTTAGACTGGATTTGGCATTGTTATTCACCTGTATAGGCAGATGTTGTTTGATGGTTTTAAAGGTTTCATTGCAGGATGTAAGCTATTCTTACATCCCGAGGTGGCGCAGCAGTTAGAGTGCAGTACTGCAGGCCACTTTAGCTGACGTGTGTTCAGCAGGTCAGCGGTTCAAATCTCACCGGCTCAAGGTTGACTTAGCCTTCCATCCTTCTGGGGTAGGTAAAATGAGGACCCAGATTGTTGGGGGCAATTTAAATATATATATACATTGCTTACTGGTGTACACCGCTTGGGGAGTGCTTGCACTTAAAGCGGTATATAAGTCTCATAAATAAATAAATAAATTCTAGGTAAAGCTGCCTTTTGTAATTGACTGGTGGTAATTTTGTCAATGCCAACTGTGTTCAAGTAATTGTTTGCCAATTATTTTATTATAATTAACTGCAATATTATTTTATCACTAATGTTTTATTTTCTATTGCTCAATTAAGTATATAATGTTTTCTAAGAGACCAGAATATTATTATCATTCATATTGTTAATGGCAAACTAATCTTCTTAAAAAATCCTAAATGAATTGGTGAAATGACTTCCATATAATGCTATACAAAACAATGAATATTTGCTGATGTCTGTCTTATGCAGCATTATCTAGAAATCATTTCATTAGTATCCAGCATTCATGAAAATTATATCTCATATTACCACTTATATTATTTTAAATGTGAATTTTGTTTAAATGCACTTTCCCACTTAAAGCATGAATATGTATTAATACACATTTACAGTTAACATTTGCAATTTAGACATACAATATACAAGTGAATATGCCCATAGAAAAATGCCAGCAGAATGTTTTCCCAATTTAAATGCAAGCCTTTTACTGCTGGATGCATGATTTTCAGGATTTGAAATTTCTTGAGATTCTTAAAAGACTAAAGAGTTCTAAACAGAAGACTCCATTTAAATTTACTGAAATAAAATTTACTTAAAACCCTTATGTTGATTATTTAAGTTTTATTGATTTATAAAAACAGCAAAATGCTCTACAAATACATGTGTATTTGAGTACTTAAGAGCAATGTGATCTTGTTAGCTGAGCTGTCTCTAAACTATATCTGTTTAGCTGGTTGTGTGCCCAGTCAAAGGAGGTCCCAAAATTCATGCATAATGTAGTGATATGCAAAATGTTTTGGGGTCAGACTGTCCTGTCCCTGTAAAGTTCTGTTCTTGATGACTATTACAGCTTTGCAGGACTTTTTGAATATTTTCCCATTTTAATTTTTGGAATCCCAAGCAGATGATGATGATGATGATGATAAACCTTTCTCTGTGCCTGCATACATGAATCAATCTACAAATTAAACTGAATATTTTTTTATTATTTTTATCCTTCTGAATCTAAAGGAAAGTAGAATATGCAGTATGTATTTCAGAAAAAAATGTTTTGAAACAAGTGGAAGAGCAATGTATTTTTAAAACACATATCTTTTTTAGATTCCCATGTAATCTGGAAAGCAGATGTGTCTCTTTGAGTAGTTGATGTATGAAAATGGCCATGTTTCTTATGCAATTCATTGATACAGCAGCATCCTTTGGCAAACTCATCTGGAAGCCATAGAAAATGGTTATGGCTTCAAGGAGGTGCTGAACTCATACTTTGCCATATCTCTTCCAAAAAATGCTCAAAGCATATCTTTAGTACAAAGTTCGATCCCTGTGGATTCAGAAGTTGTTTGAAACCTGAATAAGAATAATGGTGGTATGGAGTCCTTGGCGCTTTCTGAGCTTGGTTGTTTTCTTGCATATGTTTCATTACCTAACTAGGTAACATCATCAACGCTAGAAGGGAATGGGATTTGCTCTCTGTTTATATACTAGTGCTTGCCCTGCTAGTATTGGTGGAGTGTGCTTGGTGATTGGTGGTTCCTTGATTAGGCTGTTTATCTGAGTTGGTAGTTCTTTGAGCTTTTGTTTACTTCTTGCCTCCTTGTCTAGTTTTAATCTTGTGTTAATCTCTGCTTATTTGGGTATTGATTGCTGCTGAGGTGTTTTGGTCTTTTTGTTTCCTTTTTGGCTTTTTACACACCTTTGAAAGGTATGAATAGTGATGGTGATGGTACAAGTGCTGATCATAATCTTAGATTAGCAGTCAAAGATAGGGTACTGCATAAATCAATATTGTCTTTGCTTTCCATTTGTCTTGCCACTGCAATTATGATTAATAATTTCCAAAAGTAAGAGTGTTTAGTCTTGCCATTATCACAAGTAATCAAATGACCTTTATGTTATCTTATCCACCTGAAAATCACTATTTGATGAATAACTAAGTGAATTCAGTAAGTCAACATTTTAAGCAATGTGGATGGAACTTCAGACTGATGGTCCTGATCCTCTGAGCAGTACCCACTGTTGGAAAAAAGAAGAAGAAGTTTAGGAATACTATGTATAACATTCATAGTTTGTTTTGGCTTCTGGTGCCACTGCCTGCTGATGCAAAAATTTGCATTTTGGAATGATTCTGAAGGAAGGAAGGATGGTATTGCCTCTTCTAAGACTTTGGCATCTTAGGCCAATGCCAGTTTGTCCTTATCCTAAACCTGACCCCGATGCAATGTTATTTAAACATGTACACTGCATACCACACTAACTGAGCATTAGTTGAGTTGTATAAGAGGCTAATAAAATATAGTGTCTCTTTCAACAGCTATTTTTGCAAACACCAGATTGTTGGATGCAGATGGATATTTATACAAACTCTTCCAAGGAGGATTCTCTGTGGGTTCTAGAATACTTTTAATGACTTCAAAATCAATAGTTCCCCTTTGTTTTAGTTTTATTGAATTAGTTTGTTTTATTGGATTTGGTTCTGAAATATACACATACAAAGACACAAGGATTTTATTTTTACCCTCAGAAAATCTCTAGCGAGTCACACACACACACACACACACACACACACACACACACACACAAACAAATATATATATATATATATATATATATATATATATATATATATATATATATACACACTCCACTCATATGTATCTATTACATCCCCCTACAGAATGTATTAAATTTTTAAAACATGTTTATTAAATAAGCAACTATCAGCAACAAGGAAGAATCATCTCAAAACTTAAACATATAATCTCTTTTGTTTCTTTTCAGTGTTATAAATTATTCTATCAATGCTGATTGGCAGGTATAAAATTCAAAGCTATAAAAGAGATAGGGAAGTGAATGTGAATATGCTGACCTTGGTCTTCAATTTGTATTGTTTCGGGCATCATATTTTTGAGTGAAATGACAGAACGGTGAAAACCTTTAAGAGAAAATACTTGAATGAAATGGTATCAAGAAATATTTCGCTAGTTCTAACCCAGTAAGAAAATAGAGCAAATAATTTGCAAAAGAAAGTATGAAAAATGTGTCTTGTTCACCAAATGATTGCCCAGAGACCAGCAGTGATGCTATGCTGCTAAATTAGCCAGCTAGTAAAAACTGCAGCAGCATATTCTTTTCAAAATAGTTCTTTGTAATAAAAACAGCAAGCAGTTGAACATATCACCTGAAGCCTTCACAGGAATGGAACGACAGTCCTTCTAAAACATCAATATAGATCCTGTTCCACTTTTCTTGTTCAGAAAAAAAAATCATTCTTTCCAATCATGATGCCTTGCATTTTCTTGAATTTTCAACTTCTGGAAGATTGTATTGGCCCTGAGGTGGTTCTCTTCTTTCAGTAGGTCCCATTCTGCTCAAAAGCCCAAAGCAGTTATATTCCCAGTCATATTTAGAAGAAACCAACCTTTTGATGACTAAATAAATAATATTTAATATATTGTTTAGTAAGAGCAAATTTTCAATCTGAAATGTAAGAGTTCTGAAGAAAAAAAATCTAATAGAGTCAGAAAGACATGAAAGCACCTGAATCCTATGAAGTTGGAACTTAAGCCTGTTGTATTCATTGGGAGTTTTTCTTACTTCAAACACTGCAAAGGGACAATGAATACTTCACCAAGTTTGATGATGTCAGGCATCAAAAACTAAGAAAGACATGCTGAGTTTCTTCTAAGCAGTTTCCTTTACTGTTCCTCGTGTATAGACAGAAATCTTGCCAAACTAAAACAGATTACTTGCATAATTAAAAATATACATTGAGAAATCTTTAGGGAGGACACGTCTTGACCCTCTTCCTCCCAATAAAACTATCTAAATTTTGCTGTCTCTTGCTCCTCTGGAATGCAAGAAAAACAGAAACTCATTTGCAAACACAGGTGGTGGTGAAAACAAAACAAAGAAACACAAAAAGTCTAAATGAATGATAGGTTATTTTTTATGCTGCAATCCTGCCACATTTCATATCTGAATTACAGTTCTATTTCTGAAGATTGGAGATAATATACACAGAATCAAAATTGGTTGTGTAGTCAACACCTGCAAATTTGCTAATCCTTCCAAGCTAGTCCTTCCATTTTTAAGAATTTTAAGAATTCTTGTGTGTTTGATTACAGTTCTATTTCTGAATATTAGACATAATATACGTAGAAATCGAATTTGCCAGTGTAGTCAAATGACGTTTTGCCTGCCTGTGTTTCAGCTATCTCCTGTGGAATTCCAAAAGCTCCATTAAACGGTGGGATATTAACTACGGATTACTTAGTAGGCACATACGTTACTTACTTTTGCAATGATGGGTACCGCCTTTCATCCAAGGAACTGACCACTGCATCCTGCCAGCCAGATGGCACATGGAGTAACCATAATAAAACACCTCGCTGTGTAGGTAAGCATAACCTAGAAAAGTTCTATTTGCTTTGTTGTTAAACATTTAAAGATCATTATTAGTGTTTCGCTTTCCCAATAATTATTGATTTAAAAGGATTGTAGGTAATGAGTGAAGCATCCCAAAGACCTAGGTGAATGTATGTACAAGTACAAGTACTTATAACTATTCATTTAGTAGCTGTTCTAAGCTACAACAGCACTGTGAAAAGCAAGCTATCAGCAGTCCTCGTATTTACTACTGTTGCAGCATCCTCACAATCATGTGGTCAAAATTCAGGCCCTGATACTTGTAGCATCCTGGCCTCATCTGATCATCAATTGCAATCTTCCTAGAGGGCTTCTGAAAAGCAAAGGCAAGCTGGATTTGCTTAATGACCACCTGATTCACTTAACAACTGCATTGATTTGCTTAAAAATTATGGCAAAAATGTCATAAAATTGGATGCAATTCACTTAATCACTGCCTTGCTTAGCAATGGAAATTCTGGTTCCAATTATGGTCAAGGATTATCTGTATTCAAGAAAGACCTTAATGAAAGTGGAACATACATCATTACGGTTGTCCTAACTTAATGCAAAATCCAAAAAGTTTCTTAGGAGATTTTTTTCCAAACATTCTCTGTAAGACAGAAATCACAAATCTGGTAGAATCTTTTCCAGCTAACAATTCTATGCAGCTGCATCTCATAAAATCTTATGCCTTTTTTTTAAAAAAAACCTGTTAGTCAGAAGAGATGCACTCAGGCTTATTGTAGTCTGTGTAGTCTCACCTTACACCAACTTTAATTCATATAAACTATATAGTTTCAAACTTATTCAAAGAACTTGTGTAATTTCAGTTCTAGAAACCTCACAAAATAAAGTAAGGCTTATTTTCCTGAGCAGTTTAGGACCATATAAGTAAAAGAATATCTCCTCCATATATATTTCTGTCCAAACTCTTTGGATATCTTTGAGAATTCTTCATTAATACCAGTGGTGGGATTCAGCCATTTCACACCACTTCAGCAGAACTGGTAGCTAATTTTTTGTTGCTGAAGCCCAGAATGGTTTCCAGAAGCAGCATCCAGAGAACCGGTTGTTCACATATTTGAATCCCACCACTGATTAACACTGTTGAATGAAAAATCTTCATCAGGGTTCAGTCGAAGCCAGGAATAAAGAAAATGGAGATTCTTTTAGAAAGAAAGTTGTAGTTTATTGAAGAGCAAAGCCAGACAGAAGCATGGCTCTGGGAAAGCTGATCACATGTTGCTGGGAGTGGTGGGTTTTTATACCTTCTTGGGCTTTTGTTTGGAGTTCCTGTTCCTGTCGGATGAACTTTGACCTGAGGTTCAGTGTGTCCTTTTTGGTATTGGTGGGTTAATCTTATTATGTTTCCTGTCCTTAGAGTTTGGGTGGGGGATGTAGATTTAAGGGTCTTTGTCTTTCTAATCTCATCAGCTTCTAGGTTCCCGGCTCCAATCTTTCTGAAAGGATTATCACATCTGCATTTCTAAAAGCTGGCTTCTACCTAGATTCTGCTTGGGGGAGAGGGGCTGGGGCTGATTTCTGGGCTGGTTTCTGTCTTTTTTAAAGATCTTCTCCATTATTCCTTTGGGGAAATATATTCTGTCTTTTTAATATTCCCCAAAATATTTCTTTCTCTGGATTCTTCCCAGAACACCAATGAAGTTAAATGATGGGACAGATAATTGAGGACCTTCTTATTTTAATACTGTGCTTGGGAAAATTGCTTGGCTATCTACCAGATAGTCTTTCTACTGGTTGTCTTTCCTTTTTCAAGGCAGCTAAAATTATAGAGTTTATCTGCTTGTAATTTTTTTAGTGCTGGGAATGTTTGGGACTTACGAATCTTATATATTTTACATTGTTCCGTTGTTCTTTTCCTGGCTAATTGTTATCAAAAGTTATTGGTTTTTATGTTTGGTTGGGTTTTTTTTTTTTTTGTAATCTACTAAACAAGAGAGCTCTTATTTAATGAATCTATTGATTCATGTAATTAATTTATAAATTCAAAATCTTCATGATCAGATTGGAAATAACTAAACAATGCTGGAGGAAGATACTATATAGTTATCAAAAGCACAGAAGAGATAGAATTCTCCTTTGAATACAAAATGCATGTATTATGCCCTAAACTTTAATAAGACAAGTCAAAACTTGCTCCATTTTCTTTTAATGAACAAAATAGAACTTAATTATTGCCGAACGTTATGCATATGGTAATTAGGATGATGATGATTGAAAGAATTTCCATTTGTATTTTCAGAAGAAGAGAATGTTACTTATTTCATAAAGGAACAGACAAAATTCACTAAGTTGTTAGCATGTAGAAGGTTTTGCTATGCACAGACATATAGATAAATGTACATATACATCATCCATTCATTCTTTGTTTGTATAGCTGGATGCCACCATATGACACAGTGACAGGGAAGAATAGAAAATAGATAAAGCAAAATAGCTAATTGGGAAATTAAAATCAAGTGAGTAACACAGAGAGAAGAGAAACACCTCTGAGGTTTATTTAAGCCAGGGGTGTCAAACTGCCGGCCGGATGCGTCATGAGGAAACTGTGCCCACCCCATTGCTGGCAATGGGGAAAATGTTCCGATACGTTGTGCGACATCACATGACATCGCAAGTTTGACATGTCTGATTTAAGCCATCTAAGGTAGAACTTGCTTCATAAGAATGCATCAGAAACTGTGAAGATCTCCAGATGTGGAACATCACTCTAAAGGCAATTAAGCTAATAACACATGGTGAGGAAAAAGCCTTTAACCTAGAAAAGATATGTTGTGTGAATTATAAGAGGTGGCCCTTCTTTCAAAGCTCTAAATGGATCGTTATTTAAATACGTCGAAGTACTCTCATTAGTTTCAGTATTAAATACAATCCAGCTAGATCAGTGGTTCTCGACCTTTTTAATGCCGTGACCCCAACTGGTCATAAGTTGAGGACTACCCAACCGGTCATAAGTCGAGGACTTTCGCTGCCCGGGAGCACCGCGCATGCATGGTGCCACCCCCTGCGCCGGCTAAGGCGTAGCTGGCAAGCGGCAGAGACGGAGCAGGCTTACCACCGGCTGGGGCACCAGCAGGCTCAGCCCAAGGGAGGTAAGGCACCTGCCGGGCCCCATGCGTGCCAGCAACCCTCCCTGTGCCCGCCGGCCTCCCTCCTCCCATCTCTGGCCCTCTTTTATTTACATTTTTAGTAGTTGCTCAGCGGGGAGGGGTGAAAGCTTCCAGACAGCTCGCCTTCGCTGCAGACAACTTGCAGCACCGTTTGCAGAATGGGACTTTTGGCGGGCTCAGCGGGGTAGAGACAGCTTGGATAATTCCTATTGGCTTTTGAAAGCCAATAGAATTAGACTCTATTCAAGAGAGTCTATTCTATTGGCTTTCAAAAGCCAATAGAATAAAAGGGAGTAGCACAGCTAAGGAAAAGGGGAAAAAAATGACGGACTGTGTTGTTTGGCGACCCCCGTGAAATGATCATTGACCCCAAATGGGGTCCCGACCCACAGGTTGAGAACCACTGAGGTAGATATAAACATCGTATAAATAAGGTGTAATTACAATTGCAAAGTTTTGTCGCTTGTTTGTGCCACCTGATTTTCCACCCTATAGCCAAGGACAATGTTAGGGGAGAAAAAGCTCTCTTATTAGTTATGACATATATTCATTCTCTGATACAAAGAGTAATTATGGTTAGATCCTAATGATGTGATTCTGCTGATATTAATAATTTACTAGTCAAAAGTGAAATCAGATATTTTCATTTAAAATAAATGAATATGAATATCATGCTTCAAGATGTAGAATAATCATCTGTATTACAGAAATGTTTATATAAGGATTATATTACCAATCAAATAATCCACCCCTTTAAATTCTAATATGTGGTCCATTAATTAATTATTTTGAGCAATAAAACAACCATTCTCTGTAGCCAAAGAAGGAACTATAAAATGTTAAACGGAAATAAAACCAGAATTACCAACAAACTGCAGATTATTATACAATTGTTTAATTTACAAATTAAGATAGTTTCATGTCCTAATACATAAACTGATATCAAGGATTGACCCTCTGAAGCTGTCAAAATATATTCTCTCTCTCTCTCTCTCTCTCTCTCTCTCTCTCTCTCTCTCTCTCTTTCCATTTCAAGTTGTTACATGTCCAAGCATTAATTCATTTACCCTGGAACATGGAAGGTGGCGGATAGTGAATGGATCTCACTATGAGTACAAAACAAAAGTAGTTTTTAGCTGTGATCCTGGCTACCATGGATTGGGACCAGAATCCATTGAATGTCTTGCTAATGGAACTTGGAGCTGGAGAAACGAGAGGCCATACTGCCAAAGTAAGTATTCTAGTATTAGTTATTCATATTTAAATCCAAAACACATCCTCACCATCAATCAGCACCCAGATAGGTAGAGATTAACACTAATAAGTACGGGTAGTCCTCGACTTACAACAGTTCATTTAGTGATACTTCAAAATTACACAGCACCTAAAAAGTGACTTATGATCGTTTTTCACACTTATGACTATTGCAGCATCCCATGGTCAATTGATCAAAATTCAGAGCCCTTGGCAACTGACTCATATTTACGATAGTTGCAGTGTCCCAGGGTCATGTGATCCCTTTTGTGACCTTCTGATAAGCAAAATCAATAAAGAAGCTAGATTCACAATAAATATGTTACTAACTTAACAGCTGCAGTGACTCACTTAACTGTGGCAAGAAAAATCGTACAGTGGAGCAAAATTCACTTAGTATTGGAAATTTGGGGCTCAATTGTAGTCATAAGTCGAGAACTACCTGTAAACAATACCTCAATCAAGGATCTACCAACTCAGACAACAAGTTAACAGTAAACAACAACCCAATCAAGGAACCACCAAGAACACTCCCACCAACACTGACTGCTATTGTATCAATAGAAAGCAAACCCCATTCCTTTGTAACACTGATAATGTTACCTAGTTTGGTAGTGAAATGTCTGCAAGAAAACAACCAAGCTCAGAGAGTACCAAGGACTCCACAGATCAACCCTGAGCTACAAATATTCTCATCTAGCGGTATCATTCAGATTCAACTAGCTCCAGGTCCTTATTGGTCCTTATATTAGGTAGTTATTTATTTTCAACATCTTGTGTTAATCCTGAAGACCAACAAACTGAAACTTACAATCCTTTTTCAATATGGTAGTTTTTTTCATAGGAGGATAATAAGCCTATTATCCTCAGCCTGCTGGGAAAAATGCCATGGACTTTATCAGTGAAACTTTAATTACAGAAGAATATATTTGAAGCCACTATACAGCCCACATAATCATTTAATGCAGATAGCTTTAAAATAAAGTACATTCACCAGTTTTATTCTGTCTGCAGTTTTCAAAATCAGCCTTGGACATATCAATAGTCACAGAATCAATTTTATTCCATTGCACAATATTGTTTTAATCACATTTCTGTCACTTTACCAGCACACTGTTTAAAATATACTTCAGATTATAGATTTTTTTCAAGTATGTATTATCCTAGCCAGTACCTAAATATTTTAGCATTTTTATTGCCATTGCTGTTTTTTTAACATTTATTTTTAATTTATTTTGTTGTTAGTATGAGTGCAACATATATTGTAAATATGTATATTTCTTCTTTTCAAAGTTATTTCCTGTGGAGAACTTCCTACATCTCCAAATGGGAATAAAATTGGAACTCAGATTACATATGGCTCGACTGCTATCTTTACTTGTGACCTAGGATTCATGCTGGTGGGCTCAGTGGTAAGAGAATGTCTCTCTTCTGGACTATGGAGTGGAACTGAAACAAGATGCTTAGGTAAGGAAATACATGCTTTTTAAAAAAACAAAAAAGGATATATTTTAGTATATCATGTAACTTCCTTATACAAATTCTGACTTGAATATTAACGTTTTTTTCTAATGCCTTTGTTTCCATTCCACTAGTGAGTCATTGGATTTATGAACATGTGACAGATGCCCCATTGAGGATGGCTGTGATTACGCTAAGATTAATTAAAGATAAATTGTACCATACATTTAAGGCAAAACAATTAACATAGGGTATTTACAGGGTCCCAACAGTAATTCATTTAGATCAAGGTTAGATTTTTTTTTCCTTTATTTTTTTATATATTTTGAGGGGGGGAATATAAAGTCACTGGACATTATTTTCTAAATCAATTTTTCAAAAGTGGCTTGGCAATTTTAGTTTATCCAAAATTACATAGGATTTAAGACTCTTGGCTGTTCGTAGATAACTTACCTAGTTTAGGTTAAATGTTTTAATTGGCAGTGGTCTAACTCTTCTTGTAAAATAAAATATGAATCATCTTTAATCCTTTTAAATGTTCACCCTAAGTCAAAATAAAGTGGTTATACTTCTTAGGTTGCTTTTCTTAGATTGTGTTAAAGACTAAAGTATTCTTTGAATTTCAGTTCCTGATGACCTGGCTGGTTTCATGTAGGTTTTTTTTTCTTTTTTTTTATGATTACATCGAAGTATTTGTCACTGCTTTTTTCTGTGATATTACTCAACTTCCCAGTCTTGTTTATTGTTGTGATATTGTCTGGAAACCATCCTATCAAAGTTCTATTCAGTCCTGACCCTGCTTTGCTTGCCAGACTAGACAAAGCCAGATGCTTGCTTCTTTCCTGTAAAGAGAATATGCCAGTACTTAAATAAATCTTAAAGGCTATCCTCCGTATTCCCTTAAGAGACATTTTTAAATAGCACCTAAGGAAGCTTTTTATGTAGGAAGATAAACAGGATGCAAAACACAGTGGATACATTTAGTTATTTGTCTTAATTTTTTAAAATAATTTGTTTTGCAGTGGGAAGCTAAGTGGAACCACTTTACAATGTCATTCTGCTAAAATGTTATTTAAAAAGACAGTAATGGTGCTATATAAATATTATTGCTTAATACTTGGGCAATGTTGGCTTCATACTTTGTATGCATACATACAATACACACACATCAAAACTGCACATTTTTACCTACATAAATATCCCTCAGCTCTTCCCTGTCAGAAAAGCAACATTCAGAAGCCAGAAAAAAAGTAAGCAATGGTAAGCTAGAGATATTAAAGACATCAGATAAGAAAAGGAAACAGAGTTGAAATAATGTACAGCCAATCCAATCCCTATGCAGTACAGATTTATCCTTGAAATCTTTTATTTCTTCTATTAATTCTATACATCAATCCATGCAATTCCTTTTATTCTTTAGAATTTTCAACTCTGCCTTTTTCAGGTTTTTAACATTTCAACAACTCTCTCCAAACATCAGTTTATTTTTCTGTCCCTTCCTCTTGACCCAATTGCTATTATGTCATATATTTGTTTTGCAATTCCGTCTTCAATCATCCTAGATGACCAAATCACTTCAATTTACTGTTTTGATACTGCTTGTTCACATTTGCTGTTCAGACATCATTCATGCAGCATCCACCCACTCCTGATGCTTTGATGCCTATTTTATTCAACTTCATTTGATGTTTCTCCTGACATACCCCACTCTCATATAGTGAAGTGGTCAGAAGCATCCCTTACATACTGCTTGTTGGAGCTTCTTCTAACAAGTATTGATTCTTCACAAAAGATTGCATATTGCCAATATTTACACTGTTTTAAAATTTCTGGAGCCCTTTTGCCATTTTTTTCCTGTAAACAATCTATCATCTAAAGTACATAAACGGATAGGTTCGCTCTAGTTTTTTTGTTAAATTTTATGTAACTTGCAATTATTCATCCCATTTTGCTTGTCAAACACAAGTACCTTGGCCTTTGATACCTTAATTTTCAGATCAATATTCTTCTTCGAACCGTACAATCCAATGTAGGTCATTCAGGTTCTCAGGCAACAATGTAACATCATCTGAATACAAACATGCACATATAGTCACATCTGTAACAGTGTTCCTATCAGAATGGCCAAGTCCACTTTTCCAAATCACAATGTATTTTCTTCTTTGCTCATATCTAATGTGATTGCAGGCATTATTGATATAATTATCTATATGCATTGGTGGTACAGTGGTAAGTATCCTCACCTGTTACACGGGAGACCGGGGTTTGATTCCCAGATGGGGAGCCAACTGATGACTCTACAAATGAGTATGGCTGCAGCCATTTTTCCTACTCATTTTTGGTTGCTACATAGAGCAGAGGGAGGGGGTTGCCCAGGTGATTCACTAGTTTAAATAATCTTTTGTCCCATGGGAACCAAGGTCATTGGGTGCTCCCAAGACTGCAGGTTGGATGTTCTGTAAAAAGCCCGTCAGGAAGATGTACTGGGGAACATAGTTGCTTGCGTAGTTTTAGGGGAGGAATTTTTTAACTTTGTATCGGGGAATTGTTACATATGTGTCCAGACTTGGTTTAATATCATGGTTCTGACAGACAGAGACGAATAAAGCAGAACTCTGAGGCTTGTAAATTCCTCAAAGAAAATGTTTATTAGTTACAAAGTATCAGCACATCAAAAGTGAAACCAAATCTGGAGACACACGTAACAATTCCCCAATACAAAGTTAAAAAATCCCATCCCTAAGGCTATACAAGCAACTACTTTCCCCCATACATCTTCTTGGCGGGCTTTTCATTCTTCTGTCTTTTTCACCTGTATAGAGGAACAGTAATACTATTCTTCCAATGCCAGAGATCCATTGTTTAAACATGAAAACGCACTCTATATACAAAGGATATTTACATTTTTTGAACCTACAGATTTATTGTTCTGCCCCATTCTGATCTGTGTGTATATCTCTCTGTGTGTCTGTTTATGTTTGTATGTGCATAAGCCTGTGTCTTTTAATCAGTTTTTTACTCCTGTGGACTACCGGGAGATGTCCTTGGCAAGGTTTTGGATATAGTTTGCCATTGCTTCCATCCTGGGGCTGAGAGAGATGGACTGGCTCATGGTTACATGGCCAGTTTAGTGGCTAAAGTGGGGTTAGAACATTGTCCTAATTGCTAGCCTGATTTTTTAACCATTACACCAAAGGGGATCTCTCACTTTTATTTCCTTATGAACCCCTTACAACCTCTAAAGTCCTCCTCCAGCATTTCCTCACTTTACTTTCAAATAATATAACTTTTAAAAAATTCAGTTAATTCTGCAGGAATCTAATTGTTTAGCTTCTTAATCCACTTCCCAAAGCAATTTTTATTTCATCAAAATTGCTCTCATTTTCTCTCTCTTTTAACCTTTAGCATCCCTTGCTCTTTCTGGTGATATTCTTTATACTTAACTTTTTTCCTTGTGTATACATTATGCATTAATTTTCTTTAAATCTTATTTTTTTCAGCATCATTCTCTTAAATGCAGTTTTCCTCAACCATGTTTCCACATTTGTCCTGTCAATCATTCTTTTTCATTCTTTCGATTACTGTAACTCCATATATGATTACACCACACAGCAATATAACTTTTTAAAACTCTATTCCAAGAAGTTTACACATCCTTTCCTTAACGTATGCTTTCCATGCATTCTTTTGAGACAATCTATCATCTACTCTAATCCTTTAAAAATGCATCAGCCATCTTTTCTCTATCTATAATTCTTTTCATTTCTTTCACTTCAACTTTTCCCCCCTCAAAATCTCTTAATGATATATATCACATTTGTACCCTTCACTAATTTTCTCAAGCTTTCATTATGAACAGTCAAACCATTCATACTTTTAGATTTATATAAATTCCTTTGCTATGTGCTCGTAAATAAATTAATGTCTAAGCTATGTATTCAAAATGAAGAGACCTATTTCTAAAGAGTTTCCCACAAGCCACAATTCTCCTCAGGTCAATGATGGATGGATGGATGGATGGATGGATGGATGGATAGAGCTCTTTCTATTTTCCAACAACAACAATCCTGTGAGATGGGTTGGGCTGAGAGAGAGAGCAAGTGGCTCAAAGACTAGCCCCCTAAGACAAGATTTGAACTCACAGTTTCACAGTGCCTTAACCACCAGACCAAATTGGCTAAAATAAAACAAACATTGTATTAAAATGTTTTGTCTATCCACCTAATGAGAAAATGTGCAATATACTATACTGTATATCCAAAAATGAATGAAGAAAAATAAAAGGATGCTATAGAATGTTACTAACTTCTCTACCCAATGAAATAATATTTTGTTGTACTTTATTTCTATCTATTGCTAATTTAACAAACAAAATCAATCTAATTATGTCAGAAATCAAGCCATTCTACAAATTATCTGTAGTACGGAAAAATGGTAATAGTATGTGTATTTGTGGATTAGGAGTATGAGAAGCTGGAGAAGCACCAGATCATGAATGAGGAACTACAGAAGATATGGAAAGTAATAGCTAACACAGTCCCAGCTTAGCACTTCTGATGGAAAAACAACGCAGTGCTAGGAACAGCTAAAATCCTGTGCAGAACCCTCAAATTCCCAGGTGTCTTGTAGAGGACCTAAGATTGAAGAAGACACCACCCATAGGTCTGAGAAGATTGGGTTTTTTGAGCAGTAGTCTACTAATTCAATTTGACAAACTGAATAAATTCAGAATGGAAAACATTGTGGACAATCCATTGCTAATAAAAATAAAACTGTGTTGATTGGGAGGAGAAATACTAACTTTTTTTAAGTTTACCATCCATAGTAATCCTTTCATTGGAAATTAACATGCAATGCTGTGTTTTATTAATAGGATATGATGAATGACACAGGAAAGCCAAGGTTGGTGATAAGTGTGGTATGCTATCCGGTAAACAATATAAATAAACCTATTTTTTATATTATTTAGGATGGCTGACATAGGTCTCTATTTCATACAATGTTTGGAGGAGAGATGCCCTTTTTGCTAGATTGTGATTTGTTGCTGCTTCAAGCTCCCTAATTATTGCAACAAAATTATAACAACTTGCTGCAATACATCACAGTCTTTTTTGAACTATAGTACCCAGACCTGGTCTCAAGGGGATTGAGATTGAATCAGTGGATTGAAGTGGATTCTGACCAGGATTTAAGAAAAGGGTTTTTTTTCCTAAAGAAGAAATCAAAAGCATTTTTTATTACAGATAATAGTTGAATAACCTCACATTTTCAAAAAAGCTTCTTTAAATTTTAGGGCTCATTTTTATGCATGCATTGCAATAGGATAAGAATTATGTAAATAAAAAAGAAAATCATCAAAAGATTGTTGACAATAAGGGGATTAAAAAACATGCAAGTTTTAGTAGGCTTTTAATGTGGCAGGTGTGTTCTCATGTTCTTGCCAGGGTCAAAGAGACATCATGACACTCTTTATTATAGACATCATTGAAAGAAGAACTTGAAGAGCTTGTGGTGTGTTAGGGAATTTGTTCCCACTCATTGAAAAGGAAGGGAATTAAACAATCCACTCCGGAATGGTTATGCGTAAAGAGTTACCAATTATCTGTAATATTATCATTGTTAAAATCCCTGTGCATCCTCTTGTTCACAGCATAATGAGACAGCCATTCTGGAAGATGAGCTGGGGGGCATGGGGATAGAACAGTTTCCTTGGTGATGGAAATGACTGTAAATTAGAGCTCTCACATGTCGGAAATTGCATTATTTTATTTCCACAATTCATATATCATTTTTTTCCAAAAGAGATCTGTGCCATCATACATTTTAGAACTTAGTTAATGAAGAGAATTGAGGTGCGTGTGTCTGTGCAAATTGATTTTCTCAATCTATAGGTATAATATTGCAGTCTTATATTTAGCCTATGTGTATTAACTTGAGTTGTGGGTGAAGAAGTTAGCATTCGTGACGCCCATTTCTAATACATTTAACTTTAAGTGGCTGGTAAATTGATGGTGGAAAGGTGAGTAGATGACCTCCTACACACACACACACACACACACACACAGACACACACATTTAAAAATACAGCTAATCTACATGAAGGATAATTACACTACTCCTGGACAATTAAAATGGAGGTAGGTTTGCCTCCTCCCACATCAGATAGAAATGAAGGTTACAACAGGAATGGCAATAAAGACTTTTATATATTTCTCTCCTTAATCCAGTTTTGGAGAATTAGCCCAAACATTGACCACTGGTTCAGCATGGTAGGATTAATTGGCATTTAATGTGACCAAGGAAGATGTTGAGGTACAGTGTCTGAATTATTTGTGGGAAGACTTGTTATTTTGCCTATTGTGTGCTATTACAATAAGAAGGCTGCAGGGGGATTGTGAAGAAATAGCCATCTAGTTGACGTTTCACAGATAGCTGAAGAAAGAGAGAGTAGATAGGGTTGGACCCCCCCCTCTAGGAAACTCCCTGTAGGTGTGATGGAATTGATAGTTTTAAGTCAGAATGGAGCTGCTTTGGACAAAGAGTAAAATACAGGACCCATATTGATAAGAGAACCTCTATATTAAATTAGGTTTGTGTTATTTGCTTCCTGGTTTTAATCATCACCACCATCATCATTAGCCATTGGAACCACAACTAAGGAAAAATATCTAAAGAAAATATGTGGAATTGTATTGGACAAGTTTATTTTGTCAGCATCAGTAGTCTGAAAAAAAAAGAGAACAAGGTCAGATTAATTGAAATTAATTTAAAATGGTAAATAGGATTATTCTCCATATATTTCAAGTTGTCCCCACGTTGGAAAATATAATCCAGTAACTTCTTTTGGAGAAATTTCACATACTATAACCAAGTTTTATAGGGAACATGTGCAGCCATGGGACTACAAACTGAATAGGCCTTTCCTAGAGAAATAACAGAATCTGTAATGTAGAAAAAAATACTATCATAGCAACTTAAAGCAATATGGGCAATCTCATTACAGAGCAACAACAACATGAGCCGAGGTGGCGCAGCAGTTAGAGTGCAGTACTGCAGGCCACTTTAGCTGACTGTGTTCAGCAGGTCAGCGGTTCAAATCTCACCGGCTCAAGGTTGACTCAGCCTTCCATCCTTCTGGGGTAGGTAAAATGAGGACCCAGATTGTTGGGGGCAATGTAAATATATATATACATTGCTTACTGGTGTACACTGCTTAGAGAGTGCTTGCACTTAAAGCGGTATATAAGTCTCATAAATAAATAAATAAATAAATGAAATTGCAAATATTTGGTGGCAAAATTGTTGAATTTCAGTTATGTAATGTTAGCCACCATATCATCATCAAGGTACTATTAAGAGACAAGTTTGTGTGTTAATTTAATGTAGCCATAACTGCAAGATCAAAATATTAAGTAGTAGAAAGTATAAGCTCTTAGAAAGTCAACACATCTGAACCACAACATGGTGAGATCTAATTTGGGATCACAACTTTTCTATCCCTCCCCCACTCCCAGTCCTCTCATCCTGACAAAAATACACTTGGAAGGCAATTTTGGTAGCTAATTGTAATTGATGGTGAACATCTTAATAATAACTTTTTGAAAAATTATTTCAGATGAAATAAAAGACAAATCCTTTCATTAATTCTTATGACTTGCAATTCCTTCCTTCTTTCTTCCCTCCTTTCTTCCTGAAAGCTCATTTCAAGGGGAAAACAATTTCTCAATTTACATGGGAGTTACCCATTTTTGCAAACACCATTTTGAAACTAGATTAACAAATGAAACTGTTTAGTTAAGGTTGCTCACTAACATTAAAATCTAACAGTTCAACCACTTCATTATTTTGATTCTCACAATATTTATTCAATAAAGACATGAACTGCATGGGAGTAAAGCTGAAATATAACTATATTATCCAAACAACAGATACAAAAGAATAATATTAATCCTATTGGTAGAAGAAGAAGAATGGTGTCCCCATTTTTAACTAATGTTGCATCAATTTTTGTGCTTTATTTTAGCGGGTCATTGTGGAATTCCAGATCTTATTGTTAATGGCCAGGTGATTGGTGAAAATTATGGATATAGAGATACTGTTGTATATCAGTGCAATCCTGGTTTTCGGCTCATTGGTTCTTCTGTACGGATATGCCAGCAAGATCACAACTGGTCTGGTCAGCTTCCATCCTGTGTGCGTAAGTAACACAACAGAGGTTAACATGTGCCTTATGACATCTGTTTTTTTTAAGATGATGAAAGGAATAAAGTTGGAAGAAGAGCCAACAGTTAGGATTCTAAATTCGGACTATAGTGTCCAGGAAGGACAAGTATGGACACAGATTCTCCTGGAGAAAATCTTACTATTAGGTTGCTAAGAGTGGACATTGGCTTGATGGCACACAATAAATCAATAGAGCCAAAAATTAGTAGCAAGATAGGGCTGTAGCCAGTGGTGGGATTCAAATATGTGAACAACTGGTTCTCTGTGTGGATGCCTGTTCGGGAAGTCCATTCTGGGCCTGGGCAACAAAAAATTAGCTACCGGTTCTGCCGAAGTGGTGCGAACCCGCTGAATCCCACCAGTGGTTGTAGCACATTTGTATCTGTCTACAGTATCTTGTAAAAAGTAGTGCTAGACTGAAAGCCCAAATAAATAATTCTTAATTTAGAATTGTGCAGTATATTATTTTACATGTTTTATTTATTAAATTTAACGTTATAATGCAAATCATATTAAAATACCATATTATATATTGCTATAATTTAGTATAGAATACTGGGTGCAAATATTCTAGTACCATGTAATTCAGTACATGTTTCCTGAAAAATAAATACTCTTGTAGTCACAATGATGTAGCAATTAGAATTTGATGTTCATGTCAAGCAGATAATAAACATGTGGAATGTTCAATAATATTGAAGCATTCATATCAGGTTCTCACAAGAGTTTTTTTCTTCAATCTATCCTTAGATTCATTAAACACTTATGGGGTTTAAAACATACAAAGCCAACATATGTTGTGAATGAAAATATTAGAAAACCTAACCTTTCTTTTCCAGGATATTTTCTAACATGCAGCATTAGTAGATATAGTTCTAAATTGACTTTAAGGATATGATTAATTTAAATGTACTAGTGATTCTGAGTATTTCTTGACTGTAAAGAAAATATAGAGATTAATTTACTATTCTGCAGATCAGTATAGAAAAAACAAACTTAATTTATAAAAAAATAGAATCTGCAACAAAATATTCTGTTATGGACATTAGTGAATTGGAAGTAATAAGGATTTAGGTATGGACACTGACAACACCGTTGTTTTTTCATGGAACACTTTCTCCTTTCTGTGCAGGATTATCCGTGTAGTCTCCAAAATATTTCACAAAGTAAGAGACATATTGTTAGCTATGTAATCTAATTATAACAATATTACTTCTCTCTTGCTTCTTCCAATATTAGCTGTCAGTTGCGGTCATCCAGGGAGCCCAATTTATGGACGAACAAGTGGAAATGGTTTCAATTTCAATGATGTTGTGACATTCTCTTGTAATACTGGCTATGTTATGCAAGGACCAACAAAAGCCCAGTGTCAGGCAAACAGGCAATGGAGTCAACCACCACCTATATGCAAAGGTAAGGGTTGGAACAAGTTTGGAGATGAGATATGTCAAAGGTAGTCTTTTTTTAACAAAAGGAGTGGGTACTTTAATGATAGAGACTATGCTATTAATATTCCAGTTAGATGACATCAAATGAAATGGTACTTTGTATATTTTTATTCTTAGTCTTCTGTTCAATTTTTTTTTTACAGAAATATATGCAGTTGACATGGACACTCAAAATGCTAGCTGTGATCCATCAGAGGTCCTTGATACTCTCTGAGCTTGTTTGTTTTCTTGCAGACATTTCATTACCAAAACTGGTAACATCATCAGTGCACAGTGTACTGATGATGTTACCAAATTTGGGTAATGAAACATCTGCAAGAAAACAAACAGGCTCAGAAAGCACCAAGAAACCCTCATTTCAACCCAGAGCTACAACTATTTTCCTCTAGCCATTTGATTCATTGTTATTACAATTATATTTGATTAATATATACAGGTAGTCCTCAATTTATGACTATAATTAAGCTCACCATTTTAACTAAAAAGTTGTGATGGTTATTAAGTGGGTCACCATTTTTGGTATCAGGCATTCTTTGCAAGAAAATAGAAATAAGTACAGTTTGCCAACAAAAAACGTTGTATGCAATCATACAACCAAAGGGTACTATAAATGGCTGTCAATACAGACTGGCTGCCAAGCAGCCAAAATACAGTCATGTGACTATGAAAGAAGTGGCCTTCAGAACTTCAAATCTGGGTCATAAGTCCCTTTTTTTTCAAATTATCATAACTTAAAATGGTTGTTAAGCAATTAGTTGTAAGTTGAGGACCACTTGTAATTGGAAAACTATCAGGAAATCCAGAATCATTATCTAGAATATAAAATAAAAAATATCACAGCATATTGTCCCTGTATTATTGGCAAGAGAGCATCATGGATGTATCCATGGAATCTCTCAGATTTAAGGGACTTTTTACTTGTAACCTATCTGTCAAGGTTCTGACTAATGAAATCAGAACTCCGAGTCTTGAAATTTCCTCAGAGCTCATGTTTATTGGATGCTTAATATTGTCACAGTCAAAAGTGAAACCAACTCTAAACTTCCCCTTAAAAATTCAATGTAGCTAAATGTAACAATTCCCTCCCCTTTGCTGTGCAATTGATCACATTACCCAATAGAAGCAATTGGCAGACTCCATTAAACTTCTTTTTTCCACCTTCCAGTTTCTGTGGAAATGACCTTGGTTCCCACGGGATTGCTTTAAGTTTAGTTAGCAATGCTGCCTTTTTCCTTCCCCCCAACCTGTGGCAATTTAGAGTGACGAAGATGGCTTAAGCCAGTTTAATTTCAGAAGCTGACACTACCTTTGTAGGAACATTTCTGTGTGCTAGTAACTTTCCACAATGACTGAAGCATGGAACAATGCATAAAACCATGTAAAATATATTTTGACATTTGTTTGTCTTAATATGTTTGTCTTCTTTTTCAGAGAATAGCTGTTTTTCCTTTTTGTTTGGTGCTACACAAATTCTGTAGATTTTCTTCCTTTTGTAAAGTTCCCTTTTTAAAAAAATATCTCTGCATCTTCTGATAAAGATCAATTAATATTTTACTTGGAAAAGATAAATGATTCAGGTTCACTGAGCATTAATTTATGCTAGTTTAAACTTTATTTTTTTTGCTGAAGATCAAAGTTAATATGTGTATTGATTGCAGTTTCTTTTTGAAAAGTTGAAACATCCGGGAAATTTCATTTGTTTTAAAAGGGGAAATTGAAACAAATGAGTTGCATTAAAATCAGCAGCTCATTTCCATTTTCTTTCAAACCAGTTCTTGAACATCCTGAGAAATAAATTGATTAGTATAAAAAGTAATCAAAACTGCCTGCTTGCGGCTAGTTAACTTCTTAAATAACTTCAAGCTTGCAGGTCCTTATATGAAAAGTTAAGCTATTTTATTCCCTAATAGTGGGAGGTAAAGAAAAAAAAAAAAGTCCAGAGCAGCATTCAAGCTATGAAAATCACTCAGGAAATTTATAAAAAAATAATTTTAAAAAAATCCATACAAATATGTAAGACTGCCACTTACCTTTTATTTAGTATTCCAGCCATTCTTACTGTTGTATTATGTTTTTATATTATATAATACATGATATATTATTGTTATTTTCTTCTCGTTATTTTTTCTTAGATGTAAACTTTATACGCTGCTCATAATTATAGTTCTTTATTTTATTATTTGTATTCTGGTTTGTGTATTCTGGTGTGTTGCAAAGTTTTCTTTGAGTAGGTGGCTTTTTTCTTGCAGTTTTCTAATCTTGCCTGTAACTCTGGGATTTCTTGAGAATCCTTATTCACCATACAAGTTCTAACCACACTTAGCTTTTTCAAATCAGTCGCTTTGTGATAAGTGCTGGTATATTTCTCCCATCAAAGGACATTTCTTTCTAATGTGATGCTTTAATCATCAGAGCAGTAGACTCCAATGCTATTTATTTACTTATTTATTTCCTATGGTGCTGTAATGAAAATTAGTTAAAAATGAGAAACTGCCCTTACTTAAATGATTTCTCCATATAGAATGATGATGGTGGGGAGGAGAAATATGTTTAATGCATGTTTTATAGCTGATGTGATGGATATGGCTGCCACAGATAAAGCGTAAGACTGTGAAGTTCAGAGTTTGAAATTACTTAGCTGCACCGCTGGTTAGCATGATAGAAATTATTGAACATTTCTGGGCTGAGCTAGGAAGATATACTGTTGTGCAGACAAAGAACACTAGGTATGCTCAATAAGTAGCCTAATTATTTTTGACAAGACAGATAATGACTATAAAATGTAATTTTCATTCAGGGCAATATTTTGCAAGTGCTGCAATCTTTTACATTAGCTTTAGGAAGTTTGTCCAAAGTGCTCCTTATTAAATATTATATATGAAGATTCTGCAATTCTGTGGTTACCTATAAGCAAGATATGTATGCTTACTTACAAGAAACAGTGCATTTTCATTAATATAATTTCTCTCCTAATGGATGTGAATTGGAAATAAAGGTGACTCATTTTTAAAAAGGAATGTGAATATTAAAAAGTACTGCTGTGCATCAGCATTAATTCTATAAGGTTACAGAGACAGATACAGTGGCATTAATAATAATAATCACCACTCATTATAGAATATATACATACAGAATACAGTGTATACATTTTTCAAGTATTTTAGTAAACCAAAAAAAATGGATTAAAGCACATCATTTTTATACTTTAGCATTAATTAATGCTAACTTTACAAGCCTTTGATATTATTTTCTAATGTGAAATGTACAGGTCATATCAATTTCTGTTATTGCGCTTGTTTAGTGGTCAATTGTTCGGATCCAGGAATCTCTGGAAATTCTATAAGAGAAAGCAAAATAGAACATGGAAATTTCACCTACGGTACAGTTGTTTTTTATGACTGCAATCCTGGATATTTTTTATTTGGCTCTTCAATTTTAATCTGCCAGCCTAATGGACACTGGGATAAACCTCTACCAGAATGCATTAGTAAGTATTTTAAAATATTGGTATTTATAACTAAAATTTGCAAGAACAGGAATACTAAACACTTCACAACTGTTATCCAATTGCAATTGTTAGAAAAACTGACTAAGGTAAGTCAGTGTCTGAAATACTGAATATGGAAGGGTTGTGAGTATTTAATTTTAGTTCACCACAATCAGTTGATTTTCAAGAGGCTATACTCAATAATTTGCAATAGAATATCCATGGTGCAATCAAAAATTAAATAATTATATCAATAAAACCACATGACAGTATCAAAAATATGTACTCATGGTGTGTTCCTCAGTTAGTGCAGGATAGCTTCTTGCTATTATCTTTGAGATTTACCATCTTCTTGTAACAATAATATAGTCTATCTGATTTCTGTATAGTTCATCTCCTACAGTCCATGTACTGTATATAAGTATCATTTCAGTTGTTTGAAAATTATGCTTAAAATGAAGAAATAATTGGATTGGTAGAAACTAGGATGTTGATCTCCTGCTTCATTTTGGTTCCTAGTCCATATAGACTAACCACTTTTTTCATCCTTACTCTTTCCAACTTCGGCATTCTAGTCTTCAACCATAAGTAGTAGCACATCTTGTTTGCACGTTTTATGAAATTCAAACTTGATCGTAAAAGTCATCAGTAGCAGGCACATAAACTTGGACAATTGTCCTGTTAAAAAGATGTCCACAAGGTACAATTCATATTATTCTGTCACGCATTGCATTGTACCCAAGCAGATACTTGTTATGTTTTTATTGACCATGAAAGCAGGAGCATTCCTTGTTTGGTTTTAGGTCCTACTGGTAAATAGTATGATTTTCTGGCTAAAATTATCCCAATTCAATCCACTGAGTTTTTTCTGATCAATGTGTAGTCAGCTTTTCATATGCTGAATTTTCCTATGTTCATTTATTTATTTTATTTAGCTGTAAAAGAATCATCCATCTACCAGAAAGATTGTCTCACATTCCCAAGGTAACCCTATCTTTGCTACTTCAGATTTTCTTTTTCTACCTGGCAATGTCTATAATCAGATATCCCAAAGGCTTTTATCTATCTATACTATAAACACGATTAGTGCTCCAAAACAATCCTCAGCTCTTCCTCAGTAGCTTGTTGAAGACCATTTGACCCGAGGGACTATCATCTGGAACTATATCATCAATCACTTTATACTGCCTCTTCATGTGGTTTTCCTGGATATAGGAAAATGCAGGAGTGGTTTTGCCATTGTCTTTCTTCTATGGGATATAAAATGAAGCTTTCCAGTGTCACTAAAATTAGTGTCTTTTTCTGGCATCTTCCTATATAGCAGTTGCCTGCTTGCTTTAGTGAAGCAGCTGAAATGCCTTCACATATTGGGTGATCTTGCTGAGAGTTACCAGTTCTCTTTGTTCATCCTTCCTCTGCCATGATGTGGCAACTGAGCAGATTTGAGAGGGATGACTGACTTTAGCTCTACAAAAATGAAAAGGATGATGACCTTGTGGGGGAAGTGGAAAATGAATTATTATTCCAAAGTAATTGACCTTAGCTGGAAAACCAATTCTTGTCTAGATTAGCACTTTACAAGAAGAATTGATCGGACTGATCAGCCAACTGTTTTCTCAGAGATAGATTTGATTTCTAAAGGCCATAATACTATTGATCTTGATCGCTGCATAGATATTTGTCATTCCTAAGTTCATTCAAAAGCGATGTTATAACAGTTCTTTTTAAAACTGAAATTACAGGATGATATTTTCCACAAAGCACATCTCTTGACTCCTAGGACTTATTCAAACTGACCTTTCCAGTTCTTAACTGCTCTATTTCCAGAGTCAGAATAGGAGAAGATATCTTTTAATGTCCAAGCCTAATACTAAAATCTAATGTTTTGTGCATTATCACAACATAATCTCAAAAGGGGATGCTGTATAACAAGAAACTATTATTCTGATACTCTCTATAAATTCAGATGAGTCTACATATTTCTTTGTTTATTTTTAAAAGGTTTGGAATATTATGAATATACACACACAGGTGTGTATACATACGCACACACACATACACACACACGCAGGGAGAATGGCTATAGGTTAGTGAATTCATTGATAATAATGAAAAGAAATTTGTTCTATGAATTATATGAAAAACATGGCTACTGTATAAGATCATCATCATAATGTCATATTGATCACTGGTAAAACATATTGATGGTGTGCTGGCATATTGAAGAATTTAGTTGGCTGATTATAACGTAATTTTTATCTCCAATATTTATGTATCGTAGTGATTGACTGCGGTCATCCTGGCATTCCTCCAAATGCGATCCTTTCTGGAGAGAAATACACATTTGGATCTACTGTTCATTATTCTTGTGCAGGAAGGAGATCATTAATAGGCCACGTATCCAGGACATGTCAATTAAATGGACACTGGAGTGGAACTATGCCTCATTGCTCAGGTACCACTTTTAAAGTATGTGAATGTGCTTTCGAAACCATTTAATACAGCGTTTTTTGTGGCTGCTCTTGTTTCTTTTCAGGACTTCTAAAACCAATCCGTGTTTAAATCACAAACAATTGTAATCAAACATAAGTTTCATATTAGATGCTCTCACTCAAGTATAGACTCACAAATCTAGAAAGGAAGTGGTAGATTTCAAACAACATCTCATCTAAAAGGAAAATAGTAAATAAAATAGGAACATTGAAAAGTAGGTAAGGAATATGTATATTCTCTTCCCTTTGCATATTACTGGGAAGGATGTTACATTTCATTTGGGTAATTTGTGCATCACTATTGCCTTACCTTCATTTGGTTTTATCTAATTTGAAGAATAATTGCTGCATAGCAACAGTCTTCATCCATCTAATAACTGTTTCTGCTGAACTCATGTAGGAATAGTTTCTGGAAAAGAATTTTCAAAACTGTCTACAATTCATGGCATATAGAAAACTAAGATTCCACAAGGGTATCTACAGCTTTTAAATAAATAGAAATCTATATAGTTTAATTAATAGTATAGATAATAAGCAAAGCTGTGCTTTGTTGTATTGTTTAAAACTGTAACAATATCAGAACCATAACCCAGAACTTGAAGGAGGCTGAATCTCTTAACATTTTCCCTTAAATGAATGTCTTGTGACAGTTTTAATTGTATAAATTGTTGTAAACTGATAGAAATTCCCAGCAAATTCAACAGTATTAAGATGGGATTAACAGATATATATGTATAGAAAAGTCTTTAAAATTAATGTTTCGATTCTGCCCTTCTGTCATTTTTGTCATGGCCCCAATCCAAGTATTTTGATGTCCCCCTTATACATTTTGCACTTAAATTCTTTTTTGAGCCTTGTATCAAAAAAATGCCATCATTGGCCTTAACATGAAGAAACAATGTCACTTTAAAAAAGGAAGAGATGAAGTATTAAGAAAGAACAGCCATGTTCTTCTCTCCAGAGCCATTCATGAAACCCAACTTGGTATTCACCCTAGGGGTCGATGCAAACTTTGCATTAAATTAATTATTTAAATTGATATTGCCTTTAAAATATTTTAATAAATATTTAAACACACTTAAATCTGATTAAAGGACTGCTTTCTGGAGAGATGCTCAGTGATTTTTTTTATGTGTTTATTTTTATATCATCTGTTTGTGTAAATAACTCAGGGCAACAACTAGTTATCCTAGATAGGGATATTATTTTTTATTGTACTAAAAGTAACTGAAGTAGTAACATGTATGTATCTTAGAAGTGCCATTCATGCATCCTTTGTTATGGTTATTAAAATGACCGAACAAGGTTCATATTTCCATATGTCATGTAAACTAAATAACCACTTTTTGTGGTTTATGAATATTATGCAATGAGGGAGAGAATTAAGGTATATGAATATGCCCTATAATACTGTTTTTGTTTGCCTACAGTACAACTCAGCTATTACGCTGTTATCTGTTTAAAATAGATAGATTCATTTGTTATTTCTGATTTGGGAAATGAACAAGCCTCAAAATGCAGCAGACAAGCAGTCAGCTAGGACTTTTGCGTTAACATCCCAGCCTACAATCCCAGCCTACCCCATAAATATCTGTTCAGATTAAAAGTCACAAAGGTGTGACTTATTGCACAGATTTGAGTATAAACAAGAAAGCACAAAGCAATTTCTGTGGGTTAATCATCCATATGGAAACTTATGATTTGTGATCCTAGCAGGTCTTGTGGCAAAACTAATATGTATTAAAGAACTCCTAACATGCTTTGTTGTTATATCCTATTATTTAATCATACAACAATAGAGAAGGTTATATGATGGAAACTATATAACCTAATAATATCAGAAGGGTTATCTATACAGTACTATATATGATATAATAATAATAATAATAATAATAACAACAACAATAATAATAAAGTTGGAAGGGACTTTGGAGGTCATCTAGTCCAACCCCCTGCTCAGTCAGGAAACCCTATACCATTTCAGACAAATGACTGTTGAGCAGATAAATGTGCTTTTGTTTTACATCAGTATACTGTAGATGGAATCTTTTCTAATATTTCAGATATAACTAAAAAAGTAGGAATAACTTTTACTTATTTTACAGTGCTTGTAATAACTTACAAACTTGAAACTCCAAGAGAAAGTTCCACAACTTTATAATAAATTAATAATATGAGATATTTTTCTTGTAATGTGTAACACATTTTACTCTTGGTAAACTGCATTTTTATTACAATAACTTGGACACTGATTTTTGTCTCAACGTAATTTACACTGAAGATAATTTGGTTCTAAACTAGACCAGCCACTGACTTAAGTTATAATTCATATTCTACATTGGACTGGAGAAGTGCTTTAAAAAATACCATGGAAACAGAGAACTGGTTTTATTTTGTTTTTTCCTTAACTATTTCAAGAATATTAAATAAGAGACTTGAAATTTCTATGGACTTGACTGTTCCAAATTGAGGAAGTCAGTGTACAATTACCAAGTCTGGAATGGACACCACTTTTTTTGGAGCCTACTGATTATAAATTGATTCCTCTTGTTTCAGGTTCCTATAAAGGACCAAAACAATGTAACCCTAAGTATTCTACCCCAAATGATCTTTTTTTTATTCCAGGTGACACAGCAGGGACTTGTGGGGATCCAGGAATCCCAGGTCATGGTGCTAGAGAACAAACTAATTTTAGAACTAAAAGTGTTGTACAATTCTCTTGTGAGCTTGGTTACATCCTTCATGGATCAGAGGAAAGAACTTGTTTGGCAAATGGAAGTTGGACAGGAAGGCAACCAGAATGTAAAGGTAAATTATTTTCATAACTACAGTGGAATATTTGTTTTAAAATCACTACAAAAAAGTTTTAATAAAGTCATCATATATCTGAAATCTCATTCCCCTAAAATTGTATTCCAAGGGCACCAAATCCTAGGATACTTCCAACAGTTTCAGTCCAAAATGGGACAACTTACCGCAGCTAACTGGTCATGGCTGACTTGCCACAGCCAATTCACCATAGGACAACTTGTAATGGGACAGTTCACCACAAGACAATTTCACTGCCGGACAATACAATGTGACATAGTCAAGAGAAGAAAAAGTGAATTGCAGCAGGCCTTGTCTTCTTTAAATTTGAAACTTCTCAAATTAGAAGACCTTGAGGCTGGAGTGAGCTGCAATTCTACTTGTCTCTCTCTTGAGTTATCCTGTGTTGAATTGTCCCATGGCAAGTTGGGTGGATTGAGTTAGCCGGGGTGAGTTGTCCTAGACCTGTTTCAGTCATATGTTGGAGACTAAGAATGTGAAGACTGAATATCAGAAACTGGCAAATTGTCCAGTTGCACTTAATTTAGATTCTGTCTCTCTACTGTCTATCTATCCAGTGACTTATCTGTCCTCTATCCTACTCAATGGACATTTGGGGGAAAAGAAGGAAATCAAATGATGAAAGGTGCAACCTTGATAATATTTGCATGCAATATCACGATTCAAGTTCAAAGGTTATGTCATTCCGCACATTTTGTCATTTTGGTTTCATGAGATTAAGTAGGGACTCCTGCTTACTTACAGTCTTTCTCATACATGTTTCAGGTGTTACCACATGCTATGTAGCATATGGTTTTGATTAACTTAAAAAAACTGTGTGCAATCCATGGTCTGTGGATCCCATCTTGCCCTGGACAGCTAGCAACGTGTCTTCACAAGATTGTAAACTTTTAACATTATGTAATTTTTAGAAATATTTATATACATTAACTATATTATATTATGTTACATGTGGCCCAAGACAATTTCTCTTCACATAATGCAGGCTAGGCAAGCCAAAAGGTTGGACACCCATGACTTAAAGCAATGAAATCAGTTGTACTTATGTGTTTCCCATGGAAAGTATCTATAGTGGAATTTATCCTGAAGTAAATTAAAAATTCTACCTTACTTTTTAAATATGATCACAACTCTGTGAAATCCTTGTGCTCTCTGAGCTTAGTTGTTGGTCTTCTAAATTGCTACACAATATACACTGTATGTGCAAAAGTTGGCTTGAAACTCAACATTAAGAAAACAAAATCATGGCATCCAGCCCTCTCAATTACTGGCAAATAGACGGGGAAGAAATAGAGGTAGTGACAGATTTTATTTTCCTGAGCTCCAAGATCACTCAGATGGGGACTGCAGCCAGGAAATTAAAAGACGCTTGCTCCTGGGGAGGAAAGCTATGGCAAATCTAGACAGCATACTAAAAAGCAGAGACATCACCCTGCCAACAAAAGTACGTATAGTCCAGGCCATGGTTTTCCCAGTTGCAGTGTATACCTGTGAAAGTTGGACCATAAGAAAGGCTGAGCGCCAAAGAATTGAGGCCTTTGAACTATGGTGCTGGAGAAGACTCCTGCGAGTCCCTTGGACTGCAAGGCGATCAAACCGATTAGTCCTAGAAGAGATCAACTCCGACTGCTCTTTAGAAGGCCAGATCCTGAAGTTGAAACTCAAATACTTTGGCCACCTAATGACAAGGAAGGACTCACTGGAGAAGGGCCTAATGCTGGGAAAGATTGAGGGCAATAGAAGAATGGGACAACAGAGAATGAGATGGCTGGATGGAGTCACTGAAGCAGTAGGTGTGAACTTAAATGGACTCCAGAAGATGGTAGAGGACAGGAAGACCTGGAGGAATGTTCTCCATGGGGTCGCGATGGGTTGGACACGACTTCACAATTAACAACAACGTACAGTGTATAATTTCTACGAAAAAGTATAGGAACCAGAGAAGTGGCCTTCTAATAAAGCAGATTATTTGTTTTCCTAATATAGAATTGTTTGTCATGATGAGCAGGGAGATATACTTCTCATAGAGATGCTAGAAACTGAATTTGATTATGTCTATATACAAATTATATTCTCTTTCCTAGAGGTAGAACCCAATTCAGAGTTACAGTTGTCAGTAACACTAAGGATTTTTTCTTTTCTTTTTGTCACAATCACAATTAAATTAATTCCTCCAGTCCATGACACAGCACAAAGACCCCTAATATAAGTTTGTCTGCTTCAGTGGCCAAGTTCTATTCTGCCAGTATTTGGCATTGTCCTTCTAAATTCAGTGTTGGACAATGACTGTCCTTCCATTTTTTTTCCATTCCACCATTTTCTTTTTACCAACTAGGAAATAAACTCCTTTCATTGATGTTGTGTCCTGAGCCTGCAAAGGCAGGCTCGGGACATTGCAATGGTCCCGGGCTGTTGCAATCTGCCCGGGACCAGACTGAGTGGCGCCGGCCTTGCGCGCATGCACGAGGTGTGGAAGCACGCCAGATTGTTACCTTTCTGCCTGGGGGTTCTATTAAAGGAGACAGAGAGGTCTGCAAGCCTTAGAGTTGTGGCGGAGAGAAAACTACTGAAAATAAAAGGCTGTTGGAATTACAGAATGTGTGCTCTTCATTCGCCGTTGACTCGAGGACTCAACAATTGGCATATTTGAAATTCTGTTTTCTCAATATATATATACATTTGATTGCTATTTTATGTAATTTATGCAAAACAATGTATGCTCTCTACTTTAAACATCTTTATGTGCTATAGTACACTTTTTTATTTAGATATAGCCAGCACTTGAATAGTTTTGTTTTGTTTTTTGTTAATATCCTTCTTAGAATGATTCTGTTTTATCTGTATTTTTTTTCACAACTTTTCCATGAGATTCCCTTTGATACTATTGTTAGTGTCTTGGCTGCCCTCTTAAAATCAGCACATTTTATACAAACTAAAATTCATGTGAGATTGACATTGATAGCATTTGGCACCGTTGTATGCGGGGTGGGAATATCATTTGTTCCAAAGAATTTGAACAGTAATTAGTGTTTGACAGGACACAATCATTTGAGTACAACAAAACAATTTGGTTTTAGGATTTTTTAAAGTAACATTTGAGCACCACCAGCAGAAATAATCATGTACCTTACAGGGGTGTGTAGGGAGTAATAAAGATTTGTTTATTTTAAATAACTTTGTGTGTTAAATACTTGTGTTGATTTCAAAATTATGTGCAGCATGCCTTCACTAAACAAATGATGCAATTATTTATTTGTATCATGATGTCTGAGGCAGGAGTAAATATTTTATCCACGTGATGGAGAATTTATACATATGCATATATACATACAGACACATGTATGTGACAAAATGGCCTGAAAATACTGAATCACAACACACACACAAAAGTAAATAAATAAAAAAGATGTTTGAGTTTTGAAAATGGACTATTCTACATGGAATTTTTCAAGTTGGCTAGAATTCTTAAAATAAAATAATTTCATGAACCAAGCCATAGATAAGAGAGTGTGATCATGCTGGGTGTTATTAGAGACTTGCTTTCTAAATGTTTACCAAAGTTGAATTGTATAAGTGGGTTTGTTAAAGTAAAAAAAAAATATTATTTATGTAAAAAAAAAGGTTTTCAATAGGTAGCCATTAGTACTCTAGTGTACAATAAAAATGTACAGGGCTTTGTGCCCTGTAGCTGTATACTGAATAATTTATTTACTTTTCAGAATACTCACTTTCCTGCTTAGAAACAGTAAATGATCAGAGAAAAAGTGATAACATTTGATATAAAAAAATAAGCTGATAAAAACAAACTTTCATATTTCAACAATAGATAAAAGCTGAGAATATTTTCATGAAAAGCCACAAATTCTGAACTATAGTTCAGCATTTGAATTCAAACTATATAGGAAATTATATGGAGGAACATTTATAGTATTCTGAAAACTGCAACCATATTTCAGTCAAGGAAAATTAAAGGAAGGCTCCATTTCAGCTGAATATATGAAGATTTGGGAGGAAACTCAAAGCATTTGGGCAAGATTGATGTCATTAAAATGAAGGATTTTTACCTCCTTGATGTAAACTATTTTTTAATGAGTAGATTGGATTGTTATTTGCAACTTCAATTATTTAAGTTGCTAAGTAATTGTTCTCTGTGTTTGTTTTCCTTCCCAATTCTGGCATTTTCACACTGACTGTTCAAGCTGTTCAGTGTGGTAACCCTGGAACAACAGCTAATGGGAAAGTGTTTCAAATTGATGGCACAACATTCTCTAGTTCTGTGATTTATTCCTGCATGGAAGGCTATATTCTGTCTGGACCTTCTGTACGACAATGCACTGCCAATGGGACATGGTCTGGTTCCTTGCCAAATTGTACAAGCAAGTATCCATTGTTCCGACTATTATTACAATGTTAGGACACCACTTACAGCTTCTATATTTGGAGAAAGTCAGATTGGGGAGAGGGAGCAAGATGGTGCTAGAATCATCCCTGTTGAAGATGTAGCTTCTTTTTTCCAGGGCCAGTTTTCCAGAGCTTGACATTCAAGATTGTCCCATGCAAACCAATGATGTTGTCATAGCTTCTCTACACAGAGGAGACAGACAGCTTGGAGACCCAATGCATCCATCAAACTCCTAATGTGAAACTCATGATGCATCTCCAGTATTCCTTGCCCTTTGTCCCCATCTTTCCTATATTTTTATCTCTACCCACTTGACCCCCATTTTTGAAAGAATGGTCCTCTCTGTCATTAGCCTGAAAGTGTTAATAGCGCTGAGATTTTTAGCACTCAATATAATGGCTGACCTGAATGACTAATGACAGCAATGATGGGTGAGGATTTACGGCAGCAGATATAAGTATCATGCAGTCATTGAAAGTCAACACTGCCTTGACTTAACATAATCAATATGTTTCATGGCAAAAATAGAAAGAATATTACTACCCTCTTACTGTAATTATGTGTTATTTCTGATGTGTAGGTGGAATCTTTTAGAATGAAAGGGACTCTACCTCAGTGTCAATGTACAACTATGTAAATATGCCTAAGCAATTCCTGGCCCCGCTGCCTCATATCACATGTGCACATTTGGGCTAAAAATGTGTACCTGTCACTGGGTCTATCAGATTCAGATTTCCTGGAACCATTAGACAAGGCTGCAACCTTTACCCACTTTCTCAATGAGTTCTTTTTTGGGTTGGAAGATTAAATATTTTTGTCCTTACATATTATGTCAAACACTAAGGTACAGTCTCCTGAAATTGTTCAAGCAATCTCTAAAGTCCACAACTCACACAAATTTCTGTCTTTTGCTAAATAGAATTTTCTTCTCTTTTCAAGTCAGTATATAGTATCTGGGATGCTAAGAAAAAAAAAGAAGATACTGTTTTATTGTCACACCATCTTGATACAAAAGGTGGTGGGTACATAAGAGAGGACCTTTTTGGTAGCAGCTGTTGGGAAACTGCCAGTTATGTTGGAAGAGGGGGTGGGAGTCAAGCATGGACTTAGCTTAGAATCCTTGCAGAGTCACAAAAGGCATAAGCTTGACCTCCCCTTCCAGCCTAGCTGGTGGTTTCCCAATAGCAGCAACTTGCCCTTGTTAATCAGTATCCAGAATCCTGCCATTTTATTATAAGACTGTCTTAATTCAAGCTTCACAAAGTTAGAAAAATGGAAATGAAAGCTGGTGCCTTAATTCCTTGACAAGTGGGTTCTGTAATTAGTAACAAATGTCACCTAATGTGATAAACTCTGCTTGCTTATAAAGGCTGCTACACAAAGGAAGCTGCCATAGATATCACATTATAGAATTATTCTACATTATTCACCTTCTAAAATGAAGACAACCTTTGTCATATAATTACATCTTCAATTTGTTTCTCTTCATAGTCATCATTTGTGGAGATCCAGGAATACCAGCCAATGGATTGAGATACGGGGATGATTATGTAGTTGAACAAAATGTTACTTATATGTGTCAACCTGGGTACACAATGGAAGCCAACAGTTCCAAAATTCGTACTTGCACTACTAATGGCACATGGAGTGGAATGCTGCCAACTTGTAAAGGTATTGCTTTGAAACTGAATAGATGGATGGATGGATGGAGAGAGAAAGGGAGAGAAAGAATGTAATGGCGTTGGGGAATGACCTTGAAAGGGGGAGTCACAACTAGATGAGCAGTTGGTTAAAAGGCATTTTAGGTCACTAAAGGAATGTGGATGTGGCAAACATCTCAGAAGGATTCCTCCCTAATTGTTTGGGTTGTAAAGGTGATAAGAGTGAAATGTATTTTTACACTTGCAAGGTTGATGGTGGCCTTGCAAAGTTGCCCAGACAGAAAGCACACATAGATGAACTAATTCCACTTTATTTTAAGGTTACATTCACATAATATTGCCAGTTTCAAAGTACATTTCTCTTCCCATCTACGTTCCTTCTGTGGCTAAGTTGCTTTTTATCCAACCAATCTTCTGGCTGTGGTCTTCCCAGTGTTCCCCAAGATGATTCCCAAGTACCATTCCAGAGAAATATGTTTTCACAATAGTACCTTGATACTTGACTGCTTAAAAACTCATCAAATTTGACACTCAATGCATTTTGATGCAAAAATGTGGCCTGGTACTCATCTTTGTTGGAAACTTGGTGTGCTACAAAAGAAAAGTGAGGGACAGCCACACAGGGTGGTCCAAAAGTTGGCCATGCTGGGACGGTTGCTGCAAAAGCAAGCAGGGAACAGCTGCAGAGGGTGGATAAGAATTTGGGCATGCTGGGAAGATCACTGACATAGAAAAAGGGACAGATAAGAAGTCCTTCCTTGTTCCTTCATCCTTATTTCCTGAATATTCAGAATTATATCTAATAGCATCCTTACTAATATCTATAGCATGTCCTTCATAATTCAAATAGTGTTCTGCAGAGTGACATAGAGATATGCTATTTCAGATGAGATTATAAAATTAACTTCTATTAACTTTTCATATCTTAACCTGTCTTTAGTATTGAAATTGTGATTAGTTGTTTTTAGCTACTGGTTATGTATCTCAAAATAAAGAGCTAAAGAAACAGTCCTCCCCAAGTCCTTTTCCTTATGTATGTGATTGCAACTCCCATAATTCCCAGTCAAAATACCCACCGAAATGGCAAAAAGATGTGAAAATAAACATTTCATAACATTTAAGCAAAGAAATACGATTTGCACATTAAAGCAAAAAAATAAAATAAATAAAATAAAATCCAGCAACCCTTTTTTTTTAAAAAAAAAAAAGTTTAATTAGCACATATGGTTCGCCTAGTGAGTATAGACACAGGGGACATTGCCGCAGCTGCTGTGCTAATGACTCTAAATGTTGTTACAGCTGTTACCTGTCCAACTCCACCCCAGATTTCTAATGGAAAACAGGAAGGAATAAATTTTGATTGGGGATTTAGCATTAGTTATGTCTGTTCACCTGGCTATGAATTATCATTTCCTGCTGTTTTGACTTGTGTTGGGAATGGAACATGGAGTGGTGAAGTCCCACAGTGCTTACGTAAGTATTTTTTATATATATATTTGCATTCCAGGCTAATAGTTGTTTCCATTCACTCTTAAAGGAAAACTAACAAAAGAAAAACTGTAGATATATGCAAAAAATAACCGGAATGTTTCCTCCACATACCCAGTGAGGTATGGTGGCTCAGTGACTTAAAAGACAACAGAAAAGGTCTATGCTCTGGTGGTTTGAGTTCCACTATCGCATGGCAGACTGAGCTCCCATCACTTGCCTCAGCTCCTGTCAACCTAGTATTCAAAAGCATGCTACGTGCAAGTAGATAAATAGATACCACTTCAGTGGGAAGAAACAGTACATCATGTTTCACTGAACGCACTGCATTGTGGCATGCTGGTCACATCATCATGGAAATGTCTTTGAACAACACTGGCTCAATGGCCTAAAGAAATGGAGATGAGCATTGCCCCCTAAAGTCTGCTACAAGAAGTGAAGTAAAACCCACGTGGACTCCTTTACTTTTATCACATACACAAATCCAACAAAACTGCAATGTCCTTTAATATCCATTACAAAATAAGGTGCAAATTGCAGTGACCACACAAGTGCTTGTGATCACTTTCCTCTTTGTGTTCTAGCCTTTGTTTTCCCTTAAAGATCTTAACTCCAGTTAAATAGTTTATTCAGGCAGTTGTCAGCTGAAGCGACAATTAACTGGTTCTGGTTGTTTCTTTGTTTATTTTTATTTCTTCTAGTCACTATTGACTTCTGGCTATCACCTGGAGAAGATCCTGTAGTTTTCTTGGCAAGATTTTTTTGAACTGGCTTGCCATTACCTTTTTCCTAAGGTTAAGGGAGAATGACTGGCTCAAAATTATCCTTCTGGTTTCATGCCTAAGACAAGACTAAAAGTTATGGTATCCTGGTATTTAGCTTTGTGCCTGGACCATTATACCAAATTGTGGGAAAAAATCCCATTTTTCATGAATAATGTAATCAAAAGGTGAATTTTCTAGTGACTGCTATTACTACAGAAACACTTCCTTGATATGTTGATACACCCTTATTTTCCTGAACGTTCAACACTGCATCATATTTAAAATTATCTTAAATTTTGATGTGCAGATAATAGACATGTTGACTTGTTTTGACTTGTCAGAACTAAGCAAGCCTGTGAACATTCAGGAAAAAAAAAATCTCTGTGGCCATGGGACTTTTTCTAGCCTCAGGATGGTCCTCCTGAAAAAAAAGGGTACTGTTTAGGGTGATATTTTATCTTAATTAGTGAAGGAGGAAACAATAACTCATATCCCTAGTTTTTTGTGAAATTGTAGAGGAAGGAATATTTTGTCTCATATAATACTTGAAATACCTAAAGCAAGTTTGTCAAACTTGACAAAAATGTCAACAAGAACTAATTTGAATGTAGATGTTTTAACCAGGCAAAAATCTAGATATTTTTATTGTGGCTGTCAGGAATACAGAAGAAACTCCAGCCTGTCTCTCTGACAATTGGACTTTTGTTCCAGTATTATATTAAATTACCAATTTATGCAGAAGTTTTTATTAGCATAAAATTGGTGACACTGATAGATTTTGCATAGCTGCAGATTTCATTACAATAACTAATGTATGCTGACTTTTTACAGAACATTTTGTGAATATTTTTTTTTATTTTTTTCCGTTGAAAAAAGTATTAAATTTTTAACAGAGTAAATTAAATGGATTATCAAAGAGGAGATGAATGATTCTTCTTGTTTCATAGTAAAGAAAAAACTTCACAAATAAAAGTTGAATAAAATTGTAATGTTTTCACATTCAAAATTTCAATGGTGCTATATAATGTAGAAATGTTGCATTTTGATTAATGGATTAAAACCCATTGATTTTACTCAACAGATTCTCAAATCTTGATCTCTTTCCTAAATCTTGTATTCTTCAAAATCTTGCTTCAAGATTTTCCTATTTGATATAATTTGTGATGGCAAGATGATTAGATCTTTTGAGGGTTTAAAGCTCTTTCATGTTTTAGTTATTACCATAGTAAGTGTTTATACAGTCTGTTAGTGAGCTGAGGTCATATTTCATTGTACCTTATTGGCAGTTAATTTTTTATAGCTGGAATTGCAAGCAAAATGTGCTTGTGGTGGCTGAATAACAGAAGAAGTCATGGGATCATTAATTAACAGAGCAGAAGGAAAAGCACTGTTTGACTAGATAAAGGAGGAAGAGAACATTGAAGTATGAAATTATAAGATGGAGGAAGCAGAAAGCATGACCTCTGAATTCATTTCTCAAGCTGTCCAAAACACTTCTTCTATACTTGATCAAATATTAAGATTTTTCAGTCTGTGTTTTCACAGCCACAATAGTTGTAGTCACCAAGACTTCAAGAGCAACACTAAGACTTTGCTAATCACTCATGCCTTGATTACCTAATGGCTTGACTACTGCAATGCACTCTACATGGGGCTAGGTAATGGTGGTCCTGTCTCAGTGTCCCATGTAACACCTCTACTTCATGAGCTGTGTTGGTTTCCAATATGCTTCCAGGTGCAATTCAAAGTACTGGTCATTACCTATAAGAATCTTAGCATAGGCCTGGTTACTTGAAGATTCCTTCTGTTAAACAACAGTAGGTTGGGGCTGTTGGAATCTCAGGCAGAACTATAAAAAAAGTTGGCTTCCAGGATCCTGGTAGATTCCAGAAGCCAGCTTTTCTGTACTTCTGCCTGAGGTTCCAACAGTCCCATTCTACTGATGTATCCAAGGATCCTGAATTGGCCTGTCATGATTGAATGCCTCTTTTCTTTTTCTTTTCCTCTGTCCTGTCTGAGTTTTTTTTTTTTATCTCTGGCATCTCTGTTCTTTTTTTGTATTCCTTTGTTCTACATGTTATTAACAATTTGTAAACTTATCAGATTCACTAGGAGTCAGATGACATATAAATTGTTTGTAGCAGTCAGCCAGAATGTTCAGACTGGATTGGCATTTTTATTTACTATTGAGTCTTTCCCAAGGATCTGGGATAGGCAGATGTGGATGGTTTATGGTGTTAGAGGCATTGTCACAGAATGTAAAATTGCCTTTTACAATTGACTGATGGTGAATTTGCCAGTGCTTAATGCTTAATGTTCAAGCGGTGTTGGGACTGTGCCCAAGGCAGCTGTTATTATTGGTACTACATTTGATTTCTTTTGCCACAGTTGTTAATGATTATTATTAATTAATAAGGAGCAAGTATGGAATAGCAAAAGTCAAGAGGGAGAAATATTTATGTAATTCACAACTGAAGGAATGTGCCATTGTATTGTCCTTTCCCCCTCTCCAGTTATCAATCCAAATCATTATTTTGGTCTTGGTCATTAATAGGAAGACTTTAAATTACAACTGTAAAATTGGCCATTAGATTCACATAAAACAGTTATATTTTAGAATAGAATTATTCTACTGAAATCTAATTACTGCATTAATAGCTTGTGTTTTGGGGAGGATCTTGAAATGATGCAGATGCTGGCCTTCGCTGATTATGACTCCTGTAGAAGAATTCCATGATATAGGATGGGCTGAGAGACATAATAAGGGGTCAGAGTCTTCAAGTATGTTCTGCAATGAATTCAAACCTGGCCCTTGTCAAACCCAAGGCCAATATTTTAAGGACAATACCATATTGACGTTAGTCTTGTTTTCAATTTCACTCATACTATATTCATTGAGAATGTCACTTCCCCTTGTCAGTTGACTCACCACTGTGAAATAAGAGCACAGGATTTTTTCATATTTTATTTTTCCCTTTTAATCTACTATGTATCAATGATTTTAGATGTAATAGAGCAACCCATTTAGAAAGAGAGATAGAATAGGTTAATGGTGCATATCAAAACTATGAACAAGATTCTTAGGCACATTTCAGATGAAGAGTGCATATTCAATTTTATGGGAAGAGGTCTTAATTATCATATCTATAGATGCTTCCTATATTATGATAGTTAATGCAAGTGAAATAAAACCACTTTGATCACTAGCATATAAATGTGCACTGGAATGGGTGACTATGTAAATCAATGCATTAAATAAATGAATAGGCCAAATTTTGCTCTTATTTATATCTAAAAGGTCCAACATTGTGTGTTACCTTATTTTTATTGTTATCTTTTACTGCAGTGAGCTTTGTAGAGATATTCTTTGGAAAGGAACACACTAATGAAACAAATAAATATAATTGTATCTCCAGATATTCTAATCAAATGTTATCTCTTTTACATTACTGTAAAATCAGGGCTAATATGCCTGAATTGGACTATGTCTTCAGCCAAGTTTCAGGCCTACCTTCTCAGTTTTATCATTCTTTGAGCAGAATAATTCTTTCTCATTGCTCAGTTGCTCTGGTCAAATCCAATACAATCTTCCCAGTTAATGTTAAGTGACATAAAACAGATGCCTGATTAATTTTCTTTTGTACTTACAGTTAAGATGTTGTTGGAAATAGCAAAGTATAAGTACTGCTGACAAGGAAGACCCCATGACTTATTCTACTACAAAAAGTAGCATTTTCTCTGCAGTTCCCAAGATCTGAGGGGAGAATAAAACTGATGTGCATTGCCATGATGTCTAGTTTCTATGGTTACATACTCAAAGAATTACTAAGCATCCAATAATAGAAAGTGGCTAGAAAAAGGCTGGAGAATATCAATGCATGATGTAATTCCTCCAGATATTCTCTTATTAAAGCAATAATCAAATAGTAAAAAAAATCTGTGTGATATTTGTTTAAGAAATGTTTTAAATATTTTCTTGAAAGTCTCTGTCCTTGTTAATACAGTTGACAATGAAATAAAAGAATGTTGGACCTTTTGCATATTGACTATTAGCTTTTGATATTTATACAGAAAAAAACAAGTAAGATTTAGCCCTTCCTATCTTAAGAATATAATTTATATTTATACCTTCTGTAGGTATATAAGTACATAATGCAGTTCCATTTCTTATTTTAGAACAGATTTTTTTTATGATTACATAAAAAAATTACATACCACATACAAGTATATCCGTCTAAAAAGAAATATCAGTATATTTTCCACGTATTTCTTTTTCTACAGCAAAGTTTTGCGGTGACCCAGGAGTACCTGCTCAAGGCAAACGGGAAGGCAAAAGCTTTATTTATCAGTCAGAAGTCTCTTTCAGTTGTAATCCTCCATTTGTGTTGGTTGGTTCCAGCACTCGCATATGTCAAGCAGATGGTACATGGAGCGGATCATCTCCACGTTGTATAGGTATGGTGGCACCTTTCCTAATTGGTAGCTTGTTATATTGGTTTTTTTTTAAAATTACAACAGTGTTTAAGTTGTGTGGACTTCAACTGCTAGAATTCTCTGTTCATGTGTGCTGTCCTGCTCAGTCTGAATGCAAACATAACAGTGTTTCAGTAGGTTTATTAATGTTCCACAGCAATTCCATTTACCAAAGCCCCAGAACTAGTCCAGGCAAAAGCAGACCAATGCTAGTATACAGAAACAAAGTTTCCCCAAACAAGACAAATATACCAGGTGAAGTTAAATCTACAACACAAGAGGATTCAAGAGAAAAGAAAAGTCCAGAGTTCAGAAGGCACAATCCAAAGTCAAGGCATGGTGTCAAACACACAGCTAGAAAATGAACGTGTTCCCAGCATTGTCTCCATCTGTCTATTACAATATGCTAAATAGCCAGCTTCTGGTGGAGTCCATCAAGAGGGACAAGGCTTCCTCCTCACAAGTAATTGGGATGACCTTCACTGTGCCTGCCTTTTCTCTACCCTACATGTTCTTGATCAGGTGCAGAAAGCAATTCCTCATCATCATCACCAATCAGATGCAGCTGCATGCTTCCCCACTTGAAGTTTCAGGGTTGTCCTGCTGCAGCTGTTCTTTAGCCAAATCACTCAGCCGGCTGCTTAGAACCATTGACCAACTCCAATCCTGATGTGCCTGGGACTGGTTCATCCTCCTCCAAACTGACATCTGGAGATGCATCTGAGGGAGTCATCAAACCATGTTGCTGTTTTTAGAATTCTGGAAGTTGAAGCCCACATGTTTTAAAATGGCCCCAATTAAAAGCAATGCTTTAAACTCTTTCTTTACAGTGCAATCTTAAATAATCATATGCTACTATATTCTTAGGGGTTTATTGTTTAAGTGGATGTAGGATTGCAACTAGCCAATTGTTTTCATCAGGCACCTTTGTACAACTAGTAGTCCTTTAACACACATTTGCTTAGTGATTGTTAAAAGTTACAATGGACTTCCCAGAGTTACTTTTAACACACTGCAGTCTTGTACTGCTTGGCAACCAGCTTGTATTTACAACCCTTTGCAGTATCCCCTGTTTTTGTGACCATTATTTTGTGGCATTTTTCCTGGTTTCCAATGTTTACTTCCTGTTTCTGACAAAAAAAAAAAAACAACACCATTGGGTATAAAGGATTCACTTAACAACTGGTATTTGCTTGATGACTGAGGCATTTGCTTGATGACCTGTCATTAAGCAAAGATGGGAGTTGCTTAATGACTGAGGAAAAAAAGTTGTAAAATTGGTCACATGGTATGCCATTTAATGACTGCCATGACTTATGACCAGTCTGAATTATAGTTATAAGTCTAGAACTATGTATACAGGAAAAATTCCATTCCCGCCCTCATATGTACATACTTTTGGAGCCATTCTACATTGCTAAAAGGATTCTTAGTGTGGTTTTTCAATGATAGGAGAGCTATAATTCAACAGGCTAAAAGTATTCAATACCTCAAATAACAGAAAGTTTGTACTATACATGTGTTCTGGGCTCCAGAGTTTGGGATGTTTTTTATTTAAAAAATTCAAGCTACAAAGATGAATTATGAAACTTAGAAAACTGTATGTGAGTGGTTTCTATTGCCTTAGTATACTCCATTACTGCTCAATTTCTATTACAAAACTGCACTGTGTAGTAATGCTACTATATACCGGTAACAGTGTTTCCTTCTTAAAATACAATTTTGCCTTAATTCTTATCTCTGAAATTTCTTGTGTCTTTTTTCTACTCTGGTACTGGCCAACATGTAGAATACTTTCAACTTTCTACATTGTATTTTTATATTTTTACTTTTCCTTTCTGTTTTTGCTGTGGCTGTTCTCATTTGGACCATTTACTCCATTTGAAGGAAAAACATCTCTCCTTTAAAAAAAACCAAAAAACTGGCTTTACTCTGTTTGCTGGTGGTTGCAGAGCTTCCAAAACACATGTCTCCTCTCACACCTGTTTCAAGGTTGAAGCAGTATTGGCAACTCTGCCTTGCTGACACTGGGGACAGGGCCCAGATAGGAGCACAGGTGCATGCAATTTTTCTAAGCATCCTGCTCTTCCATAGCATATAGCAGGATATATAATTGCATCTTCAGTGTAAAATTGCAATCTTACCAAGGAACAGGTTCTTATGCACTGTGGCATTTAGAATGGAATACAAATTTGGTAATGCTTAAAACAGCTCCACTGAAATCAGAATATGACTAATAACTTGTAACTAACCTAAGCCCCAGTTAGTGAATTCATTCTAAGCAGGACTGCAGGGATATCCATTATATTGATTATAGGGCCTCTGTATACTATGAAAAGATTTTTATATAAATTGTTCTTTGTGGACATTCAAGCAGGGAGGGAAAGTTACCACTGGAGATGCAGAATTTGGCCTGTTGTCTTTTTAGCATTGCATAGCTTTATTGGGACAATTTTCACAACCAATAAATAAGCATAACGTATGAAAGATAAGGACGCAGGAATCAAAGGGTAAAGCATTTGTGTTCACATTTAAGCAGCATTCTAAATCTTGCATTAATATTTTATGAAATATGAGTTTCAATATTCAAACTCATTGAAATGTTGGCACTTCCAAAAACTGTTTGGAAGCATTTGGGTATAAATCAGTGTTTCTCAACCTTAACAATTTTAAGGCATGTAGACTTCAACTCCCAGAATTCCACAGCCAGCAAGGCTGGCTGTGGAATTCTGGGAGTTGAAGTCCACATGCCTTAAAATTGTCAAGGTTGAGAAACACTGGTATAAATGAATGTAAGTTTTTTTTTTTTAAAACTATTTTATTTCACATACTTTTTTTATTTTTGGACAAAGAACCTACTCGGACAGCCTGTGAAAACCCTGGTGTTCCGCGTCATGGATCACAAAACAACACCTTTGGTTACCAGGTAGGCATTCTAATTTTTATTGAATAGGGAAGAGAGATAACTTTCTTATTTCTCTTGAGTATAACTCAAGCTTCAGTAACTATTGAATTTTATTGAATCCAAATAGTCATTATCATTAGTGTTATCCCTAAAAATCACTTAGACTAAAGCTGCATATTTCCTATTTATTTTAATAAAATAAAGGTGGAATTCTAAGCATACTCACAGGGCAGCAAATTCCAAGTAACTTAGTAAAATTGAACACACACTTGTTCACTTGTTTATGAGTGTGTGTGTGTGTGTGTGTGTGTGTGTACACACACACACATACATACACAGAGAGAGATTATATAAAATGTTAAACTACAGAAATAAAAATATATGCAAAATAAAAACATTTTGTATTGAGAAAAAAGCTGAAGTACAAAGGAGGAAAATTTATTCAATGAAAATCACTATCACCTGGATTTTTCAGGTTAATTGAAATATTTTATTTCTAATTTAAATTTTGTATATCTAAACATTTTAGAAAGAACTCAAAATATCCAAATAACAACATATTAAACCAACAGCAATAGTTCCTATTATCAAGGGAATAGTAATAATAGGTTCAAATACTTCAGGATAGTATTAGTGTCAAGGTGAGAATATTTTATTACATTCTGTACATTTTCCAGTCCTAGTTAGATATAATATGATTCTATGGCATTGTTTGCCACTATTTCTTTGGTAATTGAGTTCAATCTCATGATTAAGCTCCATTCATTTGAACAATTTTTCTCCTGGAGAAACCTGTAAAAGATTACAATCTAAATAAAGTAAATATATTTTTCTACTCATACATAAATGAGATTGCAATTATTACTTTATCAAAATAATAAAATATATTTTGTATAATAAAGTTTACTTTGCTCTGAAACTAATTCAATACAGGAATTAGTAAAATAGGAATAAATAGAATTGTAAGTTTTATATGATTTTATAGTGTATAATTTTCCAAGGACTATTTTATATTGAGAACAATGCTTGAATGCAATAGCAGCAATGTGTTGGGAGGCTTTAAAAATACAGTCAAGATCTGGGGGGGGGGATTTGGCATTTATTCCACACAGATTTCAAATATAGGTTTAGAATTAAAGACTGGGTTACTAAACACACTAGGATCTAAGCCCCATTAATCATAATGTGACATACAGTAGTTCCAAGTAAGCATGCATAGTTTTGCATAGTTTCTTTGTCTATGAAAAAAAAATCTTCTAGCAGCATTTGCAAGATGAAGAAGATAGTAATGCTCAACCCAAAGGAACTGAAATAGAGATAGATATCTTGTAGGAACACTGGAAAAAATTGCCAAGGGGAGAAATAAAGAATTTACAGAACAGTAAAAAAAATAAAAGTTCCTGGTGACTTCAATAATATTGTTCCATCTTTTTCAAGTATTCTTCCCTGGCAATAAAGGGTTATTTTTTTAAAAAAAAATAATAAATCGGGGTTGAATCAATATAATGGGTTTTTTAGTTTAAAAAGGAGAATATATATATAGGCCAGAGTTGAAATTTGAAGTCTTTATTGTTCTCCAAGCTTGGTTGTTTGATTGCAGATACTGTATTTCTGCATTAGGTAACATCAATGTGGTTAGGTAACATCATCAGTGCTAGTGAGTGTCGTTTTCTACTTGGCAGTTACTTGATTAGGATATTGTTTTCTGCTTGTTTGTCTGGTATTAATCCCTGATTATCTGACTATTGGTTGCTGGAGAGAATGTGTTCTGGTCTTTTTCTTTCCTTCTTAGCTTTTTATTGTCTCTCTTGAATGATGTGCAAATGTGATAGCTAATTTGGCTGAACATCAAGCTTCCAAGAATTCCAAGAATTTTGGATTTACCTTGGTCTAAGACAGGGGTCGGCAACCTTAAACACTCAAAGAGCCACTTGGACCTGTTTCCCAGAGAAAAGAAAACACTGGGAGCTGCAAAACCTGTGCATGCTCGAGCACGCAAAGGAAAGAAGCTTGATTGAAGAGTTTAATTAAAAAGAAATAGAGGCTGCTGTGCATGAGTTCTCTCTCTCTCTCTCTCTCTCTCTCTCTCTCTCTCCCCCTCCCTCTCCCTCCCTCCCTCCCTCCCTCCCTCTCTTTGTCTCCCTCCCCTCTCTCCCCCCCTCTCTCTGATCTTCTGCTCACTTGGCAAGCTGGCTTCACGCTATTGTCGGACAAGCTGATAAGCTCTCTCCTGCCCTTGGTCTGCCAGTGCTCTTCCCCCACTCAGTGTGTGTGTGTGTGTGTGTGTGTGTGAGAGAGAGAGAGAGAGAGAGAGAGAGAGAGAGAGAGAGAGAGAGAGAGAGAAGGGAAGTGCAGGTGCCTCTCTCTGTCTCTCTCTCTCTCTCTCTCTCTGCAAATGGCGGAGGAGGCTGGGAGCCTCAGGAGAAGGCTAAAAGAACCGCATGTGGCTACAGAGCCATGGGTTGCTGACCCATGGTCTAGGATGCTCAGAATTTTCCAGTGGAAACTATGTCAATGTGATGTGAGGTTAAAGAGTTTTCAGGTCATCTGATTACTAGTTGGATGCACTCTTCTAGTCTTCTGCTTGTCTGTCCTAATAGTAGCTATTATAGTCCTTACATTGTATATTGTAGATGACTCCTGTTTTTACTTTTGCTGCTATTGGAGCTTTTGGTTTAATTATGATGACTTGGAGGAATTTAGTTGGTTTGTGTCCTACAGTGATGCCAGGTAGTTGTAATAGTCTGTTGGTTGTTTCTAAGATGTTGTTAGTATACGGCTGTGTTATGCTTTACATTGTGTTGGTTCTGCTGTAGTGGGTTGATAAAGTTGTGTGGGTTTTTAATTTTGTCAGAACATGTTGATCAGAACAAAGGTTGTCAGTTAACATGTTTTGGTGCTTCAGGCTACTGCAGCCTTATCAAATAACCCCACCAACAGTGCAACCCCCATCAGCAATGTAACAAAAAAGAAACAATACCCCCACCAACAGTGACAGATCAAGGGATTCTATATAAACAGAGAGCAAATTCCACCCTCACTAGCATTGACGATGTTCCCATTTGGGCAACCTAAATGTTGATGTTACCTAGTTGAGTTACTAGTTGGATAATGAAACATCTGCAAACAAACTACCAAGTTCAGAGAGCACCAAGGACTCCATTTTATGATTTAATCTTCCATTTGTCCCTTCACAAAACAAAATCAAACATCTACCCTGTTCAATGCCCCCAGATCTCTTTGAAACAAAAGCAGACAATCTCATATTTAACCTACACTGCTGTATAATTGGAGGGGGCAGGAAGTTTTTAACTATTGGGCCTTGCTTTGATAGGCCATTTGGAGGAGGGAGGAAGAGAGAGAGGAAGGAAGGAAGGAAGGAAGGAAGGAAGGAAGGAAGGAAGGAAGGAAGGAAGGAAGGAAGGAAGGAAGGAAGGAAGGATTCAATCTCTATGTAAAAACAGATAATGGAGGACAGAACTAGTGATAGGCAGAGCTTCTAGAAGTATAGCTTAGCTTAAAGTTGGCCCAGCTCACTATATTCCTTAGCCTCCTGAAGCACAATTTTCACAAGACAGTTCAAAATGAATTCTTTAAAGTGGTTGTGGAGCCATTTCTTCACCCAGAATCAAATTCATAAACATCGTCCTAAGTTTATTGGCTTCAAAAGTTACTATCCTCTTACATTTAGTCTTTGATCATTTTTAATGAGATTTGCTTTCCAATCAACATTTTAACAGCATGTCCATGGGCTTGCTCCATTCTATCACAGTAGACGTTTTACCCTAAAGGCAGCACTGACATTATTTCTGAAGAAAAGGTCACATTTGCAACTTGAGGAGGGCAGTAAGAAAATGAGAAGCACTGCCCTGAACAAAAAATACGGCTTCTCCAGTATTTATAGTTAATACTAGTAAAATTATAGTTTTTGTCTATATACTTGCTTGGTTACTAGCTCTCTTTTTCAATCTGATCTGTGAGAAATAAATAAGACGGTACCAAATTGCAACCATTACCTTTAATGACTTCTCCAACATGTCTACTGCTTTGTTGTATCATATATCTTTCCAAAAAAGCCGCATTCGTTTTATAAAGGCAAAGTAAAAGTTTTTTGCCAGCTTCCTCTGCAAGCTTTAGAAGGAGATTATTTTCCTGAAATGAATTCTTAAGACTTGAGATATATGTGTAGAAATGTTGCTGATAACACATGAAAATTGTTTATAAAACCAGCAACCATTATTGGGCAGCATAGAATGTAACTGAAATAATAGGAATCTATTTAGAGAAACTGTCATATGTGCAAAGGATTAAATTCTACTTCTTTGTAGTTTATTTTGTAGCATGTTTGCACGAATGTCAATTCAGCATTTATGTATGTATTAATTCTGAAAGGTTCCCAGGCACAGTCTGAAATTAGAAATAAATATAGATCCATTATATTTGTAGTAACCTCTGGGTGAGTTTTATCATGTTTTATATGAACCTCAGTAAAGAGATGAGGAGAGTGGAGAAAGCTAACTTTTTCTAGTGAATTTAATGTTCACAAAAATAATATTGATATTTTAGGGAAATGAGTTTGTGTAGCGATAACAAGTGCATTGTGAATAAAAATAAGAGAAGAATCAAATAATAAAGAAATTACCATTGCTGGAAACTTATTGCATGGAATTCATTCATGTGTAGCCCTAGTTGGTCTTTAAGTCCAAGTGCCTCAAGAGGTCAGTTTAATTTAGTTGCATTTTATTGTTGTAACTCATGGGTTATAACATAATATGGATTCGCTGTGTGCAATAAAATAGCAAACTGTAATTAATAAACAAAATTTAAAATTACATAAAGTCAGGTTAATAGCCATTAAAAAACACAAGGACAAAATTTAATTGTATAATGGAGGAGGTATTTATGGTTTTCAGCTGCCTGAAGAGATAATTTGTATCTGTGAGAGACATTTTGTTTTCTTGGCAATGACATCAATGACATGAATGACACACCACCAATATAAAGTGACTTATTGTATGAAAGGAGCTACTGATCCCTTTTCATAGTCATTGCCATGATCCAGGTCATAAGTGTTGTGTGTTTGCATGTACCCATCAGGAACCAGTCAATGCTTATAAAATGTGAATAAGCAGGGTACATTTTAAATATAACGAGGAAAAATAATTAAGATGGGAAAGATTATTCCTTGGCCATTTTATGCATTTCTTATGATGGATTCAATCTTTTTGATCCTTGTCATAAACTTTTCCTGAATTTTCTTGCTCTGTATAAAAGAGGAAGAAATAGCAAAATGTCTATGAAAATAGGGAGCACAACTTGATGCAATCCTAATGACAATAGATATCTGTAAGTGATTAAAAAAAAGTTGGTTTACCTAGTCTTATATCCAAGCTGTTCATAGATTATTTAGTATAGCAACTAGTGTTTAAAAATATCTTACATTTGTTAGGTTAGTGTGTATCTGTCAGAGAGGATGTGTCTGTGATCTCTCTATGTTGAGTTGATCGCTAATCAAATTGATCTATTCTTAATCTTTCAATAGATAGGCAATATTGTGCAATTTCACTGTAGAAAAGGCTACTTGCTTCAAGGGTCTACAACTCGAACCTGCCTTTCTGATCTTACATGGAGTGGGATTCAACCTGAATGCGTTGGTAAGTCATGAACAGAGAGAAATGTCAGATACAGAATGGAAAAAGAATAATATTGTGATGTGAATTTTTGCCTAGAGACTCACATGCCTCAGATCAGTATCTAAACAAGAAATAAGAATAGTGTTTTATTTGTGTTGCCATTCTCCAAACAACCTAAACATTTACAGGTTTATATATAAGGAGATAGTTTCCCAGAAAATATGTATTTTTATGAAAAAGAATGAAAAAGTGCTAACTGTATTAAGAAAACACCAATTTAAATGCTGGTGTTGTGCTGATTTTCTTTCCTCGTTTTTTTAAAGTTGTAAACTAATATTGAGAAAGGATGAACTAAGGTGGAATAAAATAGAAACCAATATTAATATAGTCTGACAGAAGAGAATACTTCTAGCTCAGGTTGAACTGTGGGGTTCTTGGTGGTCTCTGAGCTTGGTGCTAACATGAATGAAATGTCTTCAAGAAAACCACCAAGCTCAGAGAACACTAAAAACCCCACATTAATATATTCACTAATCTATATAGTAGAGAATAACCCTGCAGCCTAGGATTCCTTGATATTATCTTATCAAAATAGACCCATATGGAACTCTGCTGAACTTCCTAGCCCAGATAAAATCAACCACATACTGCCACATAATGCATATATTTTAAAAAATTATGCCAAGACTCTTATTTATCTAGCAGTCTTAATAGTCCTTAGACCAGTGGTTCTCAACCTGTGGGTTGGGACCCCATTTGGGGTCGAATGACCATTTCACGGGGGTCGCCAAACAAGGCTGTCTGCCATTTTCCCCCCTTTTCTTTGGCCACGCCCCTGGCACCCGGTGATGTATAAGTGGTTGGGGGTCACCACAACATGGGGAACTGTATTATGGGGTCGCGGCATTAGAAAGGTTGAGAACCACTGCCTTAGACTTTCAACCTGGATTTTCATATCACCCCATATAGTCTTCTCTGGGTGTTTCTGGAGTCCCCTTTCCCCATGTATTGGGAATATTTCACTATCTTAAGCTAAAATGTGGATTCAATTACAATTAATGAATTTTAATACAGAACACAATTTACGCTGTGGAAATAGTTCAAAGTCACCAATGCTGAAATTTGCTCAAACATTTTATGGTAATTAAGGAGGACCTAACTGTATTTGAAAATATTCATCCAGCTTTCTTTAAAGATCAAACTGATCTATTCTTAATCTTTCAAAGAGTGGAAAAGAGGTCTCTCCAGCTTTAATAATAAAAATAAAAATATAATGTAATACGGGTAATTCTCAACTTACAACCATTCATTTAGTGACCATTCAAAATTACAACTGCATTGAAAAAGTGACCTATGACCATTTTCACATATGACCATTGTAGTATCCCCATGGTCACATGAACAAAATTCAGACCCTTGGCAACTGGCATGTATTTATGATGGTTGCTGTGTCTCAGAGTCATATGATCACCTTTTGCTTCCTTCTAAGAAACAAAGTCACTGGGGAAGCCAGATTCACTTAACAACCATATTACTAACTTAGCAAACTGCAGTGATTCACTTAACAACTGTGGCAATAAAGTTTGCAAAATGGACAAAACTCACTTAACAACTGTCTTCCTTAGCAAATGATATTTTGGATTCAGTTGTGATTCTAAGTACATACACACACCCTAAGGAAACTGAACATCTCTCATTTCAAAGCACTGAAAAGTATTACTAAGACGGATTTAAAATGCAATGAAAAATGGAGACAAATGGGACAGTGCATTCTGAAGAAATATGAGTACTTAAAAAACCTGTATTATTCTGTTTCAAAATATCTATTTGTCCATCTCAGCTTGATCCACTAAAAATGTTGTTTTGTTTATCTTATTTCTATTATTCTTGTTGCTATCTGGCAAATATGTATGATGTGTTATCCATTTATTCTATTTGAACACATATAGAACTATCAAGCATAAATGTTTACAATTATGGCCCAGGCTATGTAATTTGTGATAAAACTGGTGCAAAGATTTCCCAGATAAAATGCAGTGATAAAGCATAAGGATATGCTCTTCATCTTCCACATCGTCTCTAGTATTCAAATATATGGGGAACATACGGGATGTAATCCACTGTCTCTACTGCCAAAGCAACCACACTACTTAACTGCTCCCAGGCATGGTGTGACATAAATTGAGGTGTTAATAAAAGTGTGGAGTTATTAAAGACCTTCTCACACATTTCAGAACAGTTTAAGCAATGATCATTACTTGTAGTTGAAGGATATGCCATTGCGTGTCATGTATAACATGAATTGTGCATTTTTGTTTTAGCTCACAGCTGTAAGCAGCCCGAATCTCCAGCTCACACAAACGTTGCAGGAATGGATCTTCCATCCCTTGGTTATACCTTGATATATACATGCCAACCAGGATTCTTTCTAGCAGGAGGATCAGAACACAGAGTCTGTAGATCTGATGGTACATGGACAGGGAAGGTTCCTTTCTGTGAAGGTAATGTATTGCATATCTTTCCTCTTCCTTGGAAGAATTAATATTTCATAGTTGCCAATTCCTTTGTTTCTTTGTATTCACATTTTCTTCCAATATTAAGGATGTGGAAAATTCATTTTACCCTTTACCAAAATGAAGGCAGAGTTTATATACCTACCTGATATAAATGTTATTTATTTTACTTTTTTTACATAAAATACCTATCTACTCTTGTAATAAATGTGCTGTACTCAGGACAATGGACAACTAAAATGTGAATGGAATGGAATAGAGCAGGAATAGGAATAGGAATAGAATTCTTTATTGGCCAAGTGTGATTCAACACACAAGGAATTTGTCTCTGGTGCATAAGCTCTCAGTGTACATACAAGCAACAACTCATGATCATAATCATAAAATATAAAACATAAGATATAAACTTATGATAGTCATAGGATACCAAATAAGCAAACAATGTAAATCATAATAGGATACTAAATTTAAAAAATCAACATAAAGCATGATATATAAATAACAAAGTTATAATCATAGAAGCTAAGGAAATAGGTAATAAGAAAGATGAGAAGAATAATAGGTAATACAGCCATACTAGCTGGATTGCCATCCTAGACAGTGTTGTGGGAATTAGTTGTTTAGCAGAGTAATAGCATGGGGGAAAAGTCTGTCTTTGTATCTTGTTGTTTTGGCGTGCAATGCCCTATAGGATCATCTTGAGGGAAGAACTTGAAACAGTTTATATCCAAGATATGAGGGTTCTGTAGATATTTTCATAGCCCACTTTCTGGCTCATGAAGTATACAGGTCTTCAATGGAAGGCAGGCTGTTTGCAATTACTTTTTCTGCAGTCTTAACTATCAGTTGAAGTCTGTGTTTATCTTATTTAATTGCTGTGCCAAACCAGACAGTTATAGAGGTACAAATGACAGACTCAATAACTCCTTTGTAGAACTATACCAGTAGCTCTTTGGGCAGTCTGCTGGCGCAGGAAGAACATTCTTTATTGTGTTTTTTTGATGACATTTTTGATGTTAGGTGTCCATTTTAAGTCCTTAGATATTATATAACCTAGAAATTTGAAGGTCTCTATTATTGATACCGTGTTGTATAGCATTGTCAGAAGTGATAGAATATGAGGGCTTCTCCTAAAATATATTATTATCGCTACAGTTGATGTGTTCAGAACAAAAGTCTTTGGTCAAGGTAACTCTGGGTGGCATAAAAATTTAATAAATAAATAATCAACCCAACTTAGATTACACAGAACTCTTTTTTTGCATTTGAGAGGGACAAAGTGAAAAATAGTTTCATTCATTTAATTGAAATTATATTTCTATTTTACTTTTGAACTCAGCTTGTGCTTTTTGAATTTGGCTTGTTAATGTGCAATTATGTTTGAAAGTAAAAAAAAAATTGTTCTCTTTTTCCCATTCTGAAGGATTTTCAAGAGATGGTTGAACTGGCGCAGTTCAACCATCTCTTATTATCTTATCTTATTTTGAGGAAACTTAGCAAGCTGCTACAGCAACAAATTTTCCCACATTCTTCAGTATTTAAGGATTAGGCTTAGTACACTTTACTTAGGTCAGAGGGGACTACCAGTTCTAGGCTGCACAAATCCATGCAACCACCAGTTGACAGAAAATAGTTACAAAATCCGGTTTCTACTTGTTGTTATCTTGTGTGGTCTAGGTTTCTGAAATCTCCACCACTGCCCATGCTCCTTGATTTGACAATGACATTGTTGTTGTTAATTGCGAAGTCGTGTCCGACCCGTCGCGACCCCATGGACAATGTTCCTCCAGGTCTTCCTGACAATGACATAGAGAAGAAATAACTTAATCATGTTTTCCTTTGGGCTTGGCACACAGAAATAAGAAAGACTGTATACCCCACTCATGAGAGTTTTATCATTTTCTTTTCTTGTCATCTTTTTAAGATTGTTATTATTATCCTTTCCAGCTACCAGCTTTGTTTGGTATGTTTAATTCTGATTTTCAGAATTTCAATTCAGTTATGCACAAAGACACTTTGGAGGAAGTTGTGAAGACAAACTCCATGGGTGCTTTGTTCTTCATACATTAGTAAAGAGAAATATGAATCTGCTCCAGATTTTCAACATAACAGAAAAGGCATAAAAGGCTGTTATTTCCAAATGGAAAGGTCATGGGAGTCAAGGGGAAAGCAGTATATTCCTCTGTCTTCTTTTGTTGGTGATGAATAGATTTCACAGAAAAGTGACTTTGCTGGTGATATAAAGAATAAAAAAATATATCTTTCTCACCACAATCGAAAACATAACAGGGATAGCTGTGTTGGTCAGCCTTCAAACTGTGAAGTTTTTTTTTTTTTATCATATATCTATTTCTTTTCTAAAATATATATGAATATAGATGAATTTTCATACATGCTTACAATAATCTGATCTGAAGCATCCACTAATTTATTATGCATTAATATTAATATTTATTATTGGTTTGTTGTAGCATTGGGAACAACAACTTTAAATAAATATTTGAGTGAAACTATATTAAACACTTGGGCCTACCTACAGCCTTACTTCCTAGCAGTAGTTCTCCTTCTCTTTTCCCTTCCTCTTCCTCCTTCTCATCATCCTCCTTCTCTTCCTCCAACTCCCCCAATGCATGGAAATATATATAATCTAAACATTTCTTCCAGATTGGGATGCAATAGAAAGTTCACCAACTAACCTTGAAGGATCAAATCTGTGTGATTCTTTGGTCTTAATATGCTGCCCTATTAACAGCAAAATAAATAAATGAATAAAAGCTTTAATCAGATTTTCTTCCCCATCTACCCCTAGTCATCACAAACCAAAATTCAAGAAAGTCTTCCTAATGTTGGAAAACCAATCACATTGGTATTATGCAGAAACATTATTTGTGTGAAGTAGCATTTCTAGATATATGCAGCTTACAATTTTAACAAATCTGCAAATCTGTTCTTACCTAACTAGAATCATAGAAGCAGCCTGGACTTCCACACAGAGTTCGTGGGATTGATTCTTTTCACTTCAGGTAGACTTAACGTGAATCAGTTTAGTTTCACACACTTTAGCAAATGCAAACCATCTGAAGAACATTTTAGAATTATTATAACAGTATGTGGGAATCACCTTGGGAGACAAGGTGAAGAATCACAGACAAAGGAATGTACAGAGAAAAGGCAACTTAGCCCCCAGCAGGAGTATGGATAGGTCAAGTGATTCAGTAGGAACCCTCCACAGTTTTGTTTTTTTTTGAGCTTTGTAAAGTGGAAAGGAGAGGTTTGTACTTTCAGACTTGCAAGATTCTGTTAATATAACTTTACTATGGTTAAATTAGCTGCTCTAGCTGTGTTTCCTGGCTGATCTATCTTGTTAGACTAATCTGTATAATTTATTTTTATTTATTTAGCAAATTTCTACACTGCCCATCTCACCTGAATAACTGGTGATTTAGAAATAAAACATGCATGATTAAAAACAGTTAATGCATCAGGTTTCTCTACCAAATGGAATCTGAATAGCCTAAACTATATGAACAGATCCCAAAGGGAACAGGAGAAGATAGAACTTGCTAGTAAAATGTGCAATACTGCAAAAGAGTTGTGATACTTAGAAAGAGCAATGTAGATATAGCACTTTAAAAATTAAATTTTGATTTCATATACTATGAATGTAATAATGATTCATAACAATTATAATTTATAATTTTTATAACATTATAAAAGTTATAATTTTTGTAGGATCATTATTATAATACATTCTGTTAATTTGAATTCTTTGCATATGCAGTACAGAAAAATTTCAAACATCTTTGTGGTTTTAATTGCACTGATTTTTGTCTTTTGAGTATTTTACCGAATACCTTAACATTTAATAAATGTGTTTATTAAATGTTAAAAGGTTTATATGTCATAATGGTTTAATGTTATTGTGAATGAGTAGCCTGAATGTAAGCAATCTACATGTTCTTACTTTTATCAACAGCTGGTTCCAAAATATTGGTGAAAGATCCTAGACCTGCTTTGGGAACACCAAGCCCCAAATTAAATGGTAAGTACTTTTTATTCTAAGATTTTAAATAGTTCTCATTTAAAGACCACTCATTCAACAACTGTTCAAAGGTATGGTGGTGCTGAACAAGGAGCACATAAGATCAGTTCTCAAAGTTCTGGACATCCCAGCACACAGCCCCCCCACACTCATATGATTGTGATCTGGGCACTTGGTAACCAGCTTATGCTTATGCCAGTTTTACTGCCTCACAGTCAGGTGTTCTTTATTTGCAACTTTTCCTGCTGTTTCCCAAATGCAATGTCAATGGGGAAGCCAGAAGGTAAACTCACAAGTGGTTCCAATAAGTTTTTCACATTTTTCCACACCCTGCAGCAATCCTCGCCATGCCTGTGCTACATCTCACCAGCCACCTGTGTGCCCCCTCACCCAGCAGCACTCATTTACTTGCCTGCCAAACTGCTCATTAGCCATCAAGGACTTTCTTAACAACCCACTGTGAAGTGCCAGGATTTCCATCACTAAGTGATGCTGACATGTGATATCACACTTTATGACCACATTGTTTAGCAATGGAAATTCTACTTCCAATGACCATTATTAATGTAAGACAGCTTGTATTGTATCTAATAAGTTTTTAAAGTGCAATCAACAGTTTTATATATATAGTCACAAGGTATTTTACATATTCATAAAAGAATGCCAGTGTACCCAATCGTGTTTAGTTCCAAATGAGTGAGTAAACTTATTTTAGTTGTTGAAGCACTTTAATTATAAAATTAGCTTCGGAAGAGAGTAGGAAATATAATTCACTAAAAAGGATACAGTTTAGGGATAATTGCATAATTTCCCAGTGTGCAAATGCAGCAGTATAATCCAGAAAAATATCCATTTGGTTTCTGTTTTAACCAAAAAATAATCTGTTTTAATCTAGTGAGCTGAATAGCTTTGTATGGGTTATAAACTCATTTCTAAGATGTCTTAAAAAAAACCTAGTCCTTTCAAAAAATAATAAGCTCCACTGAAAACAGAGACTGTAGTATTTTGATGTTTTTCTTATGGTAAATCCAGAATTGATTTTTTGAGGTATTTTATATAATCATTTCTGACTGACAAGTGCCCCACACAATAAAATAAAGTGAAAATTGGGTTTTTAGAAGCTTCACATAATGGTTTATGTAAATGTAACTTTTGATTTCTTCTTACAGATCATTAATTCTTTTTTTCAGCCTGAATTCAAATAACATTTTACTATTTTCACCTACTTATATGAACTGATGCATAGTCTTACTATACATGTTTAGAGACCTAAGCATTGTGGAACACAGTTTTCTATCAGGTGCATTTTTATATATTTCTAGGATATGGGGCATGGCTTCTTAATATTATACATTTTAAGTAATTTTTTTTCTGGAACTATATTGTTGAAGCATGGAAAAACTGCACTTATCAGTCTTCTGCTAAAATGGAGCAATCAATGAAGAAAATATCTCCCTTTTCAAAGATGAACATACCTTTGGAGTACTTTCACATGTGGTAAACAATATCTATATATCTGTGTATATCCAATATGCATATGATTATAAATAAATGTTTATGTTATTTATTTGTACCCCATTGAAATGCCTCATTAGCTAAATATCCAACTGTAGATATAATCACATAATTTGTGAGTGCTTCATTAATGGGTTAATTTTGACTCAAATCTTTTGACATTGGAAAGAGTAAGCATTCAGACCACCACATTCTGAAAGCCAAGTCAAATTTGCTAATAGATTTTGTTTCCTTATGTTTTTCTTAGTGTTGGCTTAAATATAACCTAAAATCATTCTTAGTGATTAATTAAAATTAATCTTTTGTGCTTGCTATTTCATCTACTACTGTGCATTCATCAGTCTTGTCTATCTTGTTTATACATGTATTTGCAATTTTATACTTTCTTGCATATGTTCTGTTTTGATATATATTTTAATCATGTTTTCTTAGAAAATATATTTTCATTTTTCAACGACCATTTGCAATAATTTATATGTTATATACATGTATAAATTCAAAACTATTCATATTCCTGTCTGCACATTAACCTAGAAAATTATTTTGATCAATCTGTACTTAATTTCAAAATTCAAATTCCTAATAGATATGAGAAGGGACAATAGAGGAAAATATTTATAATTAATGGTTGAACTGAGGATTAACAGCAGAGACCTTAATGCAATGCCTGGAATCTATAGCACTTCCTTGTATGCAACCCAAAGTACGGATTTGATATTACCTTTGTCATTAAAAAAAAAAAAATAACCAGCTAGAGAACACACACAGAACCATCAACAAGGAATAAAATGTACTAGGGAAGAAGAAAACAACATACTACTCTTCCTGGATATCTTCATCAGCAGATGTAATGATGGCAAATTTATTGCAAAACTACTCACACCAAACAAGTGCTCCACTACAAAGCAACAATCCAAATTTCCACAAAAGAAACTGTGTAAGAACATAATTTAAATGAGCACAAACACTGTAGCAACCTTGAATATCAGAAAAAGGAAACACAACATCTACAGAACACCTTCCAATAAATGGCTACCCACACAACTTCATCAATAATAACCAAGTTCAGAGAGCACCAAGGATCCCAGAGATATGAGAAGTCATATCTAAGAATAAGTCTCTATGAACACATCATGTATTATTTTGGGATATAGTTCAATCTATATAACATGAAAGCTTATATATTTAATATTTTTGACAGTACTGAAAAATTCTCTTTTGATTATTTTTTAATAAGTCTTTCATATAAGTTGTATAATAATGGGATTTTTTTCCATTATTTCATGTTCTTTTCAAGGTAGGAGACCTTCTTCTTTGTGCCATTTTTTCAAGTATTTGTAGAATACTATCATATCCCCATTTGAGTATCCTTTCTTAAGGCTGAGCATGAAAGAAATTTCTGTAGTTCTCAAACTCATTTGTGTACAGTAAAAGAATAGGTGGACAATTCTTAGCAGATAAAGCTTAAATTAGTTTCATCCTAGGATTTTTCTCTATGCACTAAAGAAAACTTCAACTCTATATAAGGAACGGTTGCTAGAATTGGGTATGTCTAGTTTAACGAAGAGAAGGACAAGGGGGGACATGATAGCAGTGTTCCAATATCTCAGGGGCTGCCATAAAGAAGAGGGAATTAAGCTATTCTCCAAAGCACCTGAAGGCAGGACAAGAAGCAATGGGTGGAAACTAATCAAGGAGAGAAGCAAACTAGAACTAAGGAGAAACTTCCTGACAGTGAGAACAATTAATCAGTGGAACAGCTTGCATCCAGAAGCAGTAAATGCTCCAACACTGGAAGTTTTTAAGAAGAGACTGGACAGCCACTTGTCTGAAATGGTGTAGGGTTTCCTGCCCGAGCAGGGGGTTGGACTAGATGACCTCCAAGGTCCCTTCCAACTTTACTATTATTATTATTATTATTATTATTATTTATTGAGCAACTTTTGAACCTATTATCCATATACATAAATCACCCAATGAAATCATTGGAACCTTTAAGTACATAATATTGGCAAGATTATGATTCTTGCTTTGTTCTAATGAGGATTTGCTGTAGTTTTTGATATTGCTTATACATTTCAGTGTACAGTTGGCAATGTCAGTGTCATTCAGTTTGATGAATTACATACTTTTAAAGTTTAATGCAATGGTCTACCACTTAGCTAGCAATTTTGCTCCAAGTGTTGCTATTTAATAAGATTGGGCACTAAATATAGAAATAAACAGATACAGGAACTCAGAAGTAATGTTCTGGGCAAGTAGCTGGCATTGCTAATTGTTACATGAAGTTTTACTTCATGTCAGTATATTAATGTTAATATTTTTTTGTTCAGGTTAGCTAATCTGAATCAATCCCAAGACTATCGGGTAGGATATATAGCAAAAGGAAATGCAGCACGGATGAGATGATATTGTTTTTATGATATCGCTTTCCCTACACTGATCCTAAGCTTTGGAAGGCATTTCTTTGGGATTTGAATATTGTTCCCTTCATTGTATCATTAGGAAAGGAATCGAGGCACTTAATCAACCCTCTGTTAGTAATAACTTTATTTTTTTAATTAATGAATTGCTTTTCAATTGTTTGAAATTTAGTTAAGGTTGTTAGTCATTTTGACTACATCATGGACAGAAAGATGGGATATATATAGCATGATAATTGTAATAATCACAACAGCAACATCTAGGGCAACATCTATTTGAATAAGATACTTTGAAAAGGGTATTAATCTAAATAGAGCCCTTTTCTTCAAATTCTTAAAATAGCTAGGTCCTTTGCTAAACTCATGAAAAGCTGTTCTCAACTGGTATGCATGAGTGTGCAGGTCACAGTCATTTCATTTCACTGATGATTCCAGTGAAATGTAGTCTTATGTCTACATACCAATGCAAATTGTAGATAACCAGAGACGCTTTTGAAGCAAATATGTGAGTCTTCCAGAGGACATAATTTTCAAATACAAAAGCTTCATTTGTACAATGTTTCTGTTTCTAACTTCCACATATCAATAATCATTGTTGTCATTTCAGTTCTGGTTTTCACCCAAATAGCACATCAAATTTTTTTTTTAAAGTATGAAGAAGAAGAAACCAGGTCAGAATTAAAAGTTTCATAATTATAAGTTAGAAGTATTATCTTCTACTGAACTACAAATAGTCCTCAATTTACAACCGATCATTTAATGACCATTCGCAGTCACAACAACCTTGTGGAAAGTGTTTTATGGCCCAGAAAGCACTTTCAGACATTGCAAACCATCATGTCATCCTTCGCTTCAGTCACATGACCACATTTCGGGTGTTTGTATTTTACAATCTTTTAACAAGGACCTTCAATTATGTGATTGTCATTTGCAATCTTCTCTCCTGGTTTCCCAGAAAGTCAATGGGGAAGCCAGCAGGGAAGTTACGAGCTGGTGGGATGTTGGATTTAAAATCTGTTACCTATTGTTCCAAGGGATTTCTCCTCCACTCTGTGCAGAAAGGAATTCCTTCCATGTATTTGAGGAACAGAAGTCAAATCTGTGAAAATGCCAGTGAATGCCAGTGTTCTGAACTTTTTAGAACAATAGTGTTTACTTGTGTTTTAATGAATGCGATTGTTCCTGCCCCTTTGGAGGGGAAAACACTAGCAAACACCAGTGCTTCCATCTTCTGGGGGGAGGGGGATGCTAGTAAACACTAGCCATTCTGATCCTTCGGGAAGGATAGCCTTCCCTAGTGTTTTCACTAGATTTGAGATCTGTTCCTCCAATGTGGTGAGAGTTTTCCCTAGTGGGCACCATTGTTCTCATAATTACTATCATAATTGTTCTCTCTAGTGGGATGTGGACAGGGCCCTACTGGTGTTCTGCTTAATGGCCTGCACAGTTACTTAACAACTGCATCAGAGACCCAGGATTGCAGGCATTGAGCGAAGTGGTCACATGGAGTCTTGCTTAATGACTGCCTTGCTCAAAGGCCAAGATTTCAGGCTCAAATGTAGTCATAAGTGGAGGATTACTTGTAATGTGAACATAATTCTAACACATAAATTTAGAAAGAAAAAAAATAATTTCCTGAAGGAACTTGCATTATTATTATTTATTTTAGGTTGCATTTCAATTTTCCATCTCTGATAGAATCAGTAATTTTTCATTAATCCAGAAAAGGAGGTGGGAACATATAGATAAATAAATCCACAACATAATGCCACGACATGGACTTGCCACATCTTGAGATACAAAAATAATTATCTGTCTTTTGGAAAACAGTTATAAGTTGTTATTTCACCACATTTTCAGTGATCTAAAGCTCATGAAGGGCAGTACCTAGTGTTTCTATCCCCTGTATCTTTTGATACTAGTGATGTATGCAATGGATCCTATGTGAAGAGTTACTGAATTTCTACAATACTGAGAAATAATCAGGATGACTTTACTTTCAATTTCATATTTATGAAGCAAAGATATGTGTCAAATAGGTTTTGAATCAGAAGTGAGTCCCACTGAATCTTGTGAGGCCTTCTCCCCATGTCCAACTTACACTAATCTTGGACTGGTAGCATATCCTTGCTGTCTCAGGTCAAATATTTTGCCATTTCTTTCACAGCTGAGCAGATTATCTTCTGTCTCAGCTGCACTTCAAGAGAAAATGCAGGCAATACAGGTGGACAAGCCATTACAAATTTGGAACAGGTTGTTTCAACTATTCTGGAAATATTTTAAATCTGAAAAAACTACAACCTGAGCTCATATTACTTTTGAAATGAAATGAACAACTTGTTCCAGAGTCAGACAAGTGTTCCGAATTTGAGATATTTTGAACATGAAACATTTTGCATACTTCTACTGGAAATACAGTTTTGCATTTTTAATATTGGCAAGAATTCTTGTCTCATCTTGGCTCCTTGCTAATGCTTTCCCAGCAACTCAGCTGGTTATCGTGGTGTCTCAATATATTGATGTTCTTTTTAAACAGAACAGAGGATTTCCTGTGCCACAACTCTTTACAAAAACTGGCTTAAAAGTGTTGTGGTGAAAATAAATTCAAGTAGTGACAAAGATGGGGAGAGAAGTCTGTCGATGGGGATTTTTGCACTTCCCCATTGGTTAATTGGAATGAGTACTGGTTAGATTATGGAAGATGTATGGACAACAACAATGAAGATACTCCTGGCATACTACAAGCACTTTGTTATTATGCAGAAGGAGATGAGGCTTGTAGCCTCATGGAAGTCCCTTGGCTTGTTCAATAAACATGCATTCATACTTCCATTGTTACAATAATGACCTATTTAGGACTATAGTTATATTATTCTGAATATAAACCAAATTTGCTTTGAAATTTCACAAAACTCAATCTTAATCTGAAAAATAATGATATTCTATATTTTAATATCAGTAAATATAGGATTACTTTTAAGAAAAGTTGCAATATGCTTTGAATTTTATAAAACATGTATTAAAATTGTTGGTGAGGTATTGCCTTATTATTCTATTTACTGCCTCAGCAGAAGAGACTGTAACTAATTACACAGAAGGATAAATAGGCTTGAACAAGGAAGCATGATTTCATTATGATTTTAATGTTCAAGTCAACATAATACATCAGCACATACTAAAATGCCAAATGAAGTAACCTCATTATGATGGAACATAAAATGAATGATTACTTTCTTTCTTTCCTCAGAATGTCTTTTTAATTGTCCTTATTCCATAATTTTATTAGAACATGACCATGTTTTAGTATTTCAGTATTCAAGTACATGTAGGGTTATTTGCATCTATTCAGATTTAAAAGTCTAAGCCCAGTTTATTGAAGTGAATGAAACCTTTGCCATTGATTTATGCTTGGCATTAGATAGAGCATAGCTCATCATTCTGCACTTCTGTTTATGATGATTAACATTCATTTATTCCAAAGGGATACTTTGATTTAGCATTAAAATGTGAGAAATGCCTATAAGAGATTTAAAAAAAGCCAAGAATAATTTTCTTCAGTTATGAATACTTGTATTTGACAAAAATAAACTCAGACCTTAAAACTACCTTGATGATTTCACAGTTTAAGTACTGCAAGGTTGCAACTTCATGAGCACTAATAATTCAATCCTACTTGAGTCATCTTGGAAAACAGCCTGAGCTTACTAAAACTAAATCTCAGGTTAAGTAGCTACATAAATTTCATGAAAAATTTTCAGCATTACCTGAATATAAGTAAGGTTGCAAACTGATTTTACCATTGCCTGAAATTTCAAAATATAGACTCATAAATAACCAGGTGTGTTAGAGCAAACAAGAACACCCAAATGGGATGTAGAACTGGTAGATGGAACTTCAGGCAGAATACTGTACATGCCCTTAGAAATATTAATGGTCCACATGGACATATTTTAAGTCTACCATATAGCAATAACACTTAGATATATATACTGCTTCACAGGGCTTTACAGCCGTCTCTAAGAGGTTTACAGAGTCAGCAAATTGCCCCCAACAATCTGGGTCCTCATTTTACTGACCTTGGAAGGATGGAAGGTTGAGTCAACCTTGAGCCAGTGAGACTCGAACTGCAGTCAGCTGGCAGTAAGCAGAAGTAGCCTGCAGTACTGCATTCTAGCCACTGAACCACCAGGGCTCTCATATGAAATAATGTAAGAAAAGGAGGATAAGAAAGATGATTATAACATAATTAAGGAGTCAATCTGGTGTCATTTATCTTGAATCATTTTGTGGTGGTTGATTTTTTTTCCTTTGAAGTTTTCCCTTTCCTACAATTGGAAATATAAAATGGGAAAGCTTTATGCCTTCTCCACAGGACGGACCCTAGAAAGGCCCTTCTTTCATAGATAAGAATTTATAGAAAGGCTACATGCTGTCTATAATCATGGGAAGATTTTTTCTAATTTGAGTCATAGAATCGTTGGGTTGGAAGCCTTCTAATCCTATCAGAACTAACATTTGATTTGAATATGTTGGCAAACTTTTTATAGAAGATTGAATCCACTGCAATCTTAGCTGAATCACCTGTGGATAGGTCTCACTGAACTCATTGATTAGACAAGTAATGTATCAAACTGTCCAGGTTCATGCTTCTAATAATTCTTACAAAATGAAATGGCCCCGAACCCTTGCCACATTTAGAAATACTTAGTTTTTTCATGGCTTCTGTGATATGCTATATATAGGGTGTTTCTGTTTATAGAATATATTATTACTGTAGTGGCACAGTGGTTAGAATACAGTATCGCAGGCTAATTCTACTGAGTGCCAGCAGTTTAATTATCATTGGCTCATGGTTGACTCGGCCTTCCATCCTTCCAAGGTCAGTAAAATGAGGACCCAGATTGTTGGGGGCAATATGCAGACCCTGTAAACTGCTTAAAGAAGGCTGTAAAGCACTGTGAAGCAGTGTATATAAATCTAAGTGCTATTAACTCTGTTTATAAACTCAAGAATGTTTGTGGAAAAACAGAGTGTAATAATCTATTTCCAAAGAGAGAATGGAAACAACCATGGCAGAACAAGGAGCTGGTAAACAGATTGTAACCCCTGGAGCAAGGAGAGGACCAGAATTGGTCACAAACACTTCCTACGGTGATTTCCCACGAGAACACAATAAGACTTTATAAGTTTTTAAACACATTCTTATCCCTGTAATATACAAGCTCTTTTGCTACACATTATTGTAAGTTCTAATTTTGGTATGAAATCTTCTTATATATATTCTGTTTCTTCTGAAATTATAATTTTGTATGAACTTCTGAAAAGAAAGCATGTTTTTCCCCTATAATTGGTATTTGAGCCATTTTTGCTGAACCCATCTAATATATATACCAAGTAGATCCACTTAACATACAGCCACTAGACAGAATGTTTGCACCATGCAGCTATCAATTAAGTTTGTGATATTATTCTTAGTTCTTTTTATAGTAAAATTGTCTTACTTTCACTTTGATAACTGAAAAAGATGGAGAAATAGTTGATACGGAGATGTTAAAATTCTTGAAGATACTAAGCTGTAACATATAGCTGCATATCAGTTAGATGTAAAATTTCAGAAAACTAAGTAAAAAGAAAAAAGGATTTCCAGGATAGAGTTCTGTTGCTCAACATTTCTCAATTATTTTTTTTTAATGTTCTAATCTCATTTTAACTAGCATTATTGTAGCTCTAATGTTCTTATTGTTTAATGATCTTTAATGTTTGGACTTTATTTTTATTTTGCAGTTCCTGATGATGTGTTTGCTCAGAATTACATATGGAAAGGATCCTACAATTATAAAGGCAAAAAGCAGCCAATGACCTTGACAGTTACTCATTTCAATGCATCATCTGGAAGAGTGAATGCAACCCTTACTAATAGCAACATGGAGTTGTTGCTTTCAGGTAGGAACAACAATTATAAATTTCTCTATTTAATTCTCTTAACATGTCTACCAAAAGTCTGATACCCATTTCATGGAAGTGATGATCATTGTAAAGCCCTTCACATGTGTGGATATTTGGTGTTGGATATTTTCAAGACAGTCTTATTCAGGAAGAATCTCACTGCTCCATGTGATTTCGTATGGAATAATTGTGCTTGACATCCACACTGAAAGTGATCAGCACCCTAAACACTCAACACACTCAAATGTCTTTTCTAAAAGGGTTTCATAAAATGGTAAATACAGGCCTCTTCAGGAAAATGCTTAGATCTGTCTGATGGTAGTAGCAGTTTTAATTATAGTTTAATTAAGGGGATTTGTTGATATTGGTCCTACAAATATTTTGCAGTTGTTCCATTGAATTATTCTAAACAAGAATTGTGAAGTGGCATACACATATATTTAAGAATGCAGCATGGCTTAATCATTTTATTTCTTGTTCTCTCTTATGCATAGGAGCTGGCTGCATGGCATTAGACCTGCAGTTTTCTTTTAACCCTAAACGGAGAACTCAATAAAATATCTATTTAGATCTGCATTAGGTCCTCATGATAGATTATTGCACTTAACCTTCAAGAAAGAAGCCTTTTATGATTAGTGAATTGATTCAGGATAATAGTAAACACAACCTCCAATCAATGTCAACCACACTGACATTTCCTGTTTCACTGGAGCTATTATTATTTATGGAGTTTAGATTTGAGTTTTGCAGAAATTCTTATGTTGAAATGTTTTACTGAAGGGTGGTTATTTCTGAATTGACATGTTTAGAATTGCATTGTGAAATATGATAATCACAGGATTATATCTTCTATTCAAAACAGTGGTACCATTTAATGGCTATTGAGAAAACAGACATATGAACCCACACTTGACTACTTGAAGAAGATTGATTTGAACAATTATGTCAGATATTTGGTTGTTATATAAAAATGGAAAGCACAGTTTGGTATTTTTGAGTATTTAATTGTCTGTAATTCCCTGACTCTGTGGAAAGAATTAAACAAAGTAAAGCCAAAGGGTTTTCAAAGACTTGTCATGGTTGTTTGTAAATGGATGCTTGCATGTATGCATGAACCATCCATCCACCATAATAGCTGGACAAACAAGTATATAGGTAAATTCTAGGGATTTCAAAATAGAATATCGGTCCTTTGATAAGCTTTTGTGACCTCAGAGTATAGATACAGTTTGTATCATCATATAATTTTACAGGCCTATTAAATGAAGACCAAGCTCTTTGTCATTTCCTGCCTAAGCAGGGGATTGGACTAGAAGATAATGTCTCTGATTACTACATGGGTATCACCTCAGCAGAAAAATTGTCCTGAAATATCTTAGAATGAGTACTGGAAAATAAGTCCCCGTGTTTGATCTTGTATAGTTCTCAAACTTTTTCCTTCATTACTCCAAAGTGTTTAATAGAAAGTCTTATTAAACTTCAAGGACTGGTCGTGAGTTTTTTTCCTTAAGCACAGTTGTAACTTTGAATTGTCACTAAATGAATGATCATACTCAGAGACTGCCTATATTAGAAAAACAACATCATTGAATGATAGTTCTATCATTTCAATAAATTTTGGTCTTAACTGGAATACTTTGGAAGAGTTTCAAATATATTTTGGTACATGTGGCAATCCTTAAGTCACCTTAAATGTCCCTGTTATACTGGGTAAAAATCACTTTTACCCTATTCTGGATAATTTACCCAAAGTTGGGAACTACTGAAGAAAGTGTTTCTTACAATTTTGCATATATAAGTTGACCATGTTCAAGACAATAGATATAAAGGATATATCTGAAATAATACTTTGGCAAAGAAAAAGAAGAATACAATCCTACGTTTTGCTTCTGGATAGCAACAGAAACTCCAAAAAAAATCTTGATCTCATCTTTTACATTGTAAAACCATGTGATGGCATTAAACTGAAATTTGATTAAAATAAGAAGTTTTCTTTAATGTTCAAATTGTTTCCATTCGGAGCAGGTATCTACTGTAGATTCATGTAATGCATTGCAGATGCATTTTTTAAATCAAGCATGGTGCAGTAGGTTTTTTGAGTGCAGCTATATCTTGATTAAGAAAAATCACAAATACAAGTAAATCATGCCTTACACTTAGAGTTACACACAGTTAAATATAGTCCTGTTTCAGGAAGGATGATTAATCATAGGAGATCTATTTACAGAAAGAGAGGTATATATTTTTGGAGGAAAACGTATGAATGTTTTAGAGAAAACCATCAGATGTGACTGGAGTTTCTGATTGCAGATCAGGTATATGCAGCAATTTTTCTTTAAAAAAAATCTTTTAAAAAAATCATATATTTAGTAAATTTACATGCTGCCCACCTCACTATCAGGTGATGAGCAGCAAGACAGGGCTATTCTAATATATATTTCATGTTTGGTTGGTTTTGTTTGGGTTTTGTTTTGTTTTTTTTTTTTCTGGTGCTAATTTGTATGCTATCCTTTAACTATGACAGCTATACTTGACAGCTAACATTTGAATATTCCCACGCACAGACATCTGGATTCTTGGAAACTGCTACTTTCCAAATGGAAACTTTCCAGAACTGTAATTTCTGAATGAGAAGAATGTCTCAGAGCAGCATTGGATGGCTCCTTGTGCAAGTCTATTTGCTGTTGATCCTTGCAGTGTCTGCAGGAGTGCTCAATCATAATTTGCCAGAAAGAATAATCCAAAGAATGCTTCAAGGAAGATGATTCATTTATTCTGTTAAAACCTGTCAGTTTAACTTCACCTTCTAATCATTTCCTGAATTGAGTAATTCATTGGCAAAGAAAGGAGACATCTGATAGTAGCTGAATATCTGCTTTCTTTTGGCCAGTTAAACATAGACATGAACAATATTGAGAAATACATTAAAATACAATGTAGCTGTAAGGTCTGATACTAAATACCTTTACAAAGCAAGTGGCTGATCTACTATCCACTGATAGTTGCCCCAACAATACAGAATTTATTTCTTAAACTTTAAACTTGAAGATATTTTGTTAAGATAGCTAAGGACAGGGGTTTTGTTGGTATGAATCCACTCAAATTTACTAGATAAATAAGTATCCTACCCATTTATAAAGAACACATTGATACACACTCCTAGGATGTCATGTTGAAATATAAATCATATATTTTAAGTGAATTATTATTGAAAGTTGTACTATGTTTTTCTCAACATATCTTTGTGAAAATGCATTTTGAGCACAACTAACAGCAAAATAAAAAGATTAAATATTATGAAGATTCAAAGACATTCTTAAATAAACCTTAGACACACCATCATATGCAAACAATTTAATTGATTAAGTGCCATCAAGTTAGTGTTGACTCTTAGCACACATATATAAATATATAATATATATATTTATTATATAGATATATAAATTTTCTCTAGGAGCATCTGTTCCCAATTTAGTCATTCAGATTTTCTAGTGTTACATCTATTACTGAAATTAAGTCCATCCATCTTGCTCTCTTATCAACCCACAGATTTCATAGTCCTGGCTTTTTCCCAAATTGAAAGCATCAGGAATTCACCTAATCCTTTTTTCAAATAAAGCATGTCCCTGATTTATGGCTATCTCCTAAATACACAGTAGCCATCCTTTAGAGCAGGGGTGTCAAACTGCCGGCCCGTGGGCCGGACATGTCACACGGAAGCCATGTCTACCCCATTGCCGGCAATGGCACGATACGTTGCACGATGTCACGTGACATTGCAGGTTTGACATGTTGAAGCATACTAGTCAAGGTTTCCTCTCTGCAAAGCTAAGAAATTATGATCTAAATAACATCTTAACATGGAGGCTGAGAATGTTTGGTCTTCAACTACTATAGTAGGTTTAGCAAACTATCTTAGTGTTTTGCAGAAGATCAATGAACATTGAACAAGGGTGCTTTTCCATGAATTTTTGCTAATGGCTCCAAATTCTTTCTCTATTGAAACTCTTGTGGGTTTCAATTTGTCCCTTACAGTATTCCTGAAGCAAGTTAAAATTACTCTTTGTAAATGAATAAACCAATGCATACCTATCTTTAGCTCAAGACTACCTGTTATTTTACTATCTTATTTTATTATTTCCTTTATATCCTGGATTTTTTCCTGGATTATAAGATGAGAGAGAGAGAGAATGAAAGGGAAAGAGAAAATGAATGAATGAAATTGGGTTGTAAACTTCTGGTGATAAGTGGGAACCTGTACCTGAGATTTTCAGATTCTAGTATAACCCTGGTTTAAGAAAGCACTATAATACCTTAAATCTTTTTTCACCATTATTATTACAGTGTACACAAACAAAACTCTGTTTTTGTTTCCATAAACCCTTTACCTACTTTCCTTCCCTTGAATAAAATAAAATATAATCTAAACTACAGATAATTAACAACAACTGGCTAGAAAAAAAATTATGGGAAAGATTTTTGACATTGATTTCAGTAAACCTGAATTTGTAGCAAACTTAGGTTGGGTGTGCACAGTGTTTGTGTGTGTGTGTATGTGTGTGCAGGCATATAGATATATATTTCTGTTCGATCATGTCCAATTCTCAGAGACTGCTTGGGCAAATCCCTGCTGTTTTCTTAGCAATGTTTTTCAGAAGTGGTTTGCCAATGCCTCTTTTCTAGAGAAAGTGATAGATCAGGATCACTAAGCTGGCTTTGTGCCCAAGGTATTAGGCCTCCTGGGTTTTGCCTGATGCCTTAATCACTATCTTAAGTTGGCTCTTGTGGATGTTATGCTTACTGAAATAACTTTGGAACTGATCATCTTCACAACATGCAATTAAATACATAGGTATGTGTTTTTTTAGTTACTTAAAAAGATGAATCAGATATAAATCTTTGAGCCTTGTGCTTCCCCTTTGCAAAGATGGTCTTAAGAGGATGATTTTGGTTTGGCTTTACTGGCTCAGATCAACTATGTTTATGTTTTACAGGGGTGTATAAAAGTCAAGAAGCCCGTTTAATGCTCCATATATATCTCATTAAAGCACCATACCATACTTCTGTGAACAAACTGAAAGAAGACAAATGGGCAATGGATGGCTTTGTGAGTACTGTATATTTCTAGCAAAATCCAATGTCTTAATAGAAAATGATGACTTGTGCATGAGACCGGAAAGAAGTCATTTTTTAAAAAATGAAAATTTAATTAGGAATGTTGAAAAATAGGCTTGCGCCGGCACTTGTAGACAAGACAAGAACAAATGTTGGCATTATAGGGTAGTGGCATTCTTAAAGGTCATGGAAAATGTCATTGGTTGGATTCAAAGGTAGACCAGCATGCAGGTGAAAAAAATTAGCACACATTATGGATGACTACTTTCTTTCTTGCCAATATATTTGCATTATAAAATCGTGTTCTTATATATTCATAGAATAGATACACATAGAAAGGGTATACTAAGTTGCATTTCTGAGTCATGGTATATCTGTTTTATACTTATCAAGGCTATCTTACAGTATGCAGTGCCAAGATTGATTAATAAGGAAAGATGCAACACAAGGTAATCAAAGGCTTGGAGATTAAAACATACGAAGAACGGCTGCAGGACTTGGGTTTGGCTGGTCTAAAAAAAAAAAGAAATAGGAGTGACATGATAGCAGTATTCCAATATTTGAGGGGCTGCCACAAAGAGGAAGGTATCAAATTAGACTCCAAAGCACCAGACGGCAGGACAAGAAACAATGGTTGGAAACTGACCAAAGAGAGAAGCAACCTGGAATTAAGGAGAAACTTACTAACAGTGAGGACAATTAATCAGTGAAACAGTTTGCCTTCAGAAATTGTGGGCGCTCTATCACTGGAGATTTTTAAGAAGAGACTAGACAGTCACTTGTCTGAAATGGTATAGGTTCTCCTGCTTGACCAGGGAGCTGGACTAGAAGACCTCCAAGGTTCCTTTCAGCTTCTATTCTGTTCTGTTCTATTTTAAACATTACAATTAGAAAATGTGAATACCGTAAATTTTCTTTCAAGTAACTATGTCTACATCAGCCAATGCAGTACTTTATCAGTGATTAGTACTTTGCAAAATAGAAACCCAGATAAGTGTGCTTTGTTTCTCTAGAAAAAATACTATTACTTTCCAGATTGATTATAATGCTAACTTTGTAGTAGTTAGTAGTGCAACTAGATTACATTTTATGTGATCATGTAGAAATTTTACATTTCTTTAAGCTTTGTAGTTGACAAAACATCAACATGCAGTGTTATTTATAACTATGTAATAGTACAATACATATTAATAGATTAGAGCAGCAATATTGCAAAGATAAACTAAAGTGTGATGTGATAAATTTTCTATTGGTAACCTAATACAAAATATATTGGTATGATTTCAGCTAGTGTTAAAACTGTTATACTTTTAAAACTTTTAAAAGTTTTCAAAACAAGAAAGAATTTAATATATATATTTTAAAAAGATTAAAAAATAGGCTAAACTAAGCACTGAATTTCAATGACAAATGCCCAGGGACACAGATTCTCACTTTGCAGATTTTCTAAACACTGCAAGAATTGACACCATAAGGCCTTCCTAAAGAGGGAAGCAATACAGAAGAACAATGCTAGAACAATATATTTCTGACTGGAAGGATATCTTAAATAAATTCAAAGCTAGATTTTATTTATGGCCAGACCAAACAGGAATCTTAAAACATTGTTAACAATCTAGGTGGCAATAGCTATCTGAACTGACTGTTCCAGATAAAAATTGGCTAGTACTTAGAAAAGAAAGTAAATACTAATGAAATCACATCCATATTGCCTTTAAAGTTGTCATGAATCAAACTCAACTAAAAATAGTCTTTTTACTACAGAAATGTAAGATTATTTATTAAATGTTGAAGTTAGCTATTTTGTAAGCATAAAAACAGACAGATGAAAATCTTTTCTCTAATTACTGTATACATGATTTGAAATACTAATACAATTATATGACATTTAAGGCCAAATAAGAGAAGATAACAAGCAAAGATTTTAAAAATTCCCTGGCTCAATTACCAATAAGACTAGTAGATTTTTCCTCCCCCCCCCCATATTCTTCATATGTATATTCTAGATCTTTATGTACTGTTTCCCAATTTTTCTCTTTCCTTTTTTTATTCTGTTTTTAATTTTTGAGTATTTTTTAAAATAAATAAATACTTCCAGATCATCAGGGAGAAAATTTATCAATGTGATTGCTAAGTGCTGACAATGACTTGATGACACATAATCAACTGATCACTTCCAGATCAAAGAATCTAATATTAACAATAACAAAATGTATAAGTAGCTGAATGAATTAAGTGATTTTTTTCCCAGATTGAATCTAATAAGCTTCTCAAGTTGTTACTGTGAATATGCACATGCATATTTATTTTACATATCCTTCTTTTTATTATTCTACATAGGTTTCTGCAGAACCTGATGGTGCAACTTATGTTTTTCAAGGATTTATTCAGGGTAAAGATTATGGTCAGTTTGGACTTCAGAGATTAGGTAAACTGATGCTTTTAATTTAGACATAGTTAGTCATTTGAAATCAACAAAGATGGGCCAATCGAGTCTTCCTACAATTACTGCTTCTGATAGAAACTTGTTCCAATTCTGGAAGGCAATCTACATGTATATTTTTTACTTAATGTGGAGATGTTTAGAGATTGGGAAGAGTGATAGTACATCTCTTGCTTCAATAATTGACTCCATTTGAATTACAAATGACTTTTTTTTATAGACTCACTGATACTATTTCAAGAAAAGCTAATTCCAGTCATACACTGGAAACTGAAAGTATCTACCTATGACACTTTTTCCCATAGCCAAACTGCACTAAATTAATTTTAAGTGTAGACTCCAAAATATTTTGAAAGAGGAATGGTGTTGTCATCAAAAGTAAATTAGAAAATACATGATCTGAGTTAATTCAGTATGTGCCTAAAGCTGTTGAGTTTATATAGTGATGTTAAATGCACATTTGTTACTTGCCCCATTGCCAATCCTACATACTCCCTTGATGGGCAACCTAGTTAGATTAGATAATGGTCAGTTATCTGTATTTAACCAAACTTCTGCTGATGAGAATGTATTTCCGGCATTCTCATCATCAGATACACTGAAACTATAAACTATGAAAAGTCTCAAATATTAGTTGAATGTATAATTCAGTAAGGTATTTTATTTCATCACAGTTATGTACAATGGAAATTTTTCATTATTCATTTTGCAAGCTTGTTGAAATTCTATGCTTATTTCTGTATTTAAGTGGCTTAATTATAACTTTGTTGTTCAAAATTACGGTAGACATCTCCTCCCTTCCAAATTCTTATAGAAAGTTTGTGCTCAAGGAAAGGACCATTTGTGTGTGTGTGTGTGTGTGTGTGTGTGTGTGTGTGTGTTTAAGAGAGAGGGGGACGGTAAATGGATATAAACAGGTGAAATTGTTTGCCCTTTCTCTCCAAAGAGGAAAAAAGAAAACTATTTTAGTACGATATAGTGTATCTGTATCGGATTCAGCACCTACAAAAATAAATGGTAAAGTCTAGGTGTATACATTTGCTTATCCAAACATAATGCTTTTATTAGCCTTTTTAAGGGGAACTCTGGGAGCAATTTTGAAATTTATGTGAAGCATTTTGCTCTACGTGCCTGTCTGCTTACCTTTTATTCCAAATTCCTAAGTATTAATAAAATATAATTACCTGCATCCATAAGATATAAAAAACAGGAGAAATTGGGTAAAAGAAAATATTAAGCTGTAATTATTAGAATCACTTTCTGTATAGTGACACTTTTTTTCCTTCTTAAACGAACACTTGTATTGCTAAGTGTACTTATTCCTCAGGCACTAGAATCCCATTTAGCACAAACTGCATGGTCTTCTAAGAAGAATTTGTTATCTTGGCAGTAATCTTCCCTGCCGTTCTGCGTGAGCATTTTTAAGTGTTACCCAGCCCACTTTATAACAGATTTAAAAAGCAAACAGGATCTGCATCAATATTGTTTATTTTTGCCTAGGTTTTTGCCTGTGTTTGCCTTAACTGGTCCATAACTGACTTCACCATGGAATTCTCCTGCTCAGAGGAGACCTGCACCTTAGGAGTCTTCCTAAATTCACAGTTCCCGCTCTAGGAGCACATATCTGTGGTCAGGAAGCCTTTGTATAATTACAACTTGTCTGCTAGTTGCAATGATTGCGGGATTGGACAGTTCTTCTTATACTTGTCTGTCAACTGTAGTGATTTGGATTGGAAAGTCCTCCTCACAGTTACCTCAGCTTTCTTCACCTTCCATTTGGATTACTGTAACATGTGGGGACAGTCCTAACAAGCATTTGGCAGTATAACTGATACAAAATGCAGCAGACTGGGCAGTGATGGATGCAAATATTTTGGTTCATTTTAACCAGGACAATTTTTATATGAAGCCAGAAATAAAATTGTTTTTGTTTCTGAAAGTACTTAACTTCACATTTTGATTATGAGCTAGAAAGAGCAGGAACTCACATCTCAAATATATGGGTGATTCAATTTGTTTAGTCTGCAAAATAATTGGAAATAGTGGTGCATTATATATATATTTTCCATGACAGTAGTAACAGAAATAATGTTTCTGTTTTGTTTTGTTTTGTTTCACCAGGACTTAATATGTCTAAAGGATCAAATTCATTAAATCAATCACATGGTACAAACAGCAGTTCTGTGGCCATTGCTATTCTCGTGCCTTTTTTTGCCCTTATTTTAGCAGGCTTTGGATTTTACCTTTATAAACAAAGGTAGGTGGAATATACATATATTTTTATGCATAATTGTGTGTGTGTGTGTGTGTGGGAAAGAGAGAGAGAGAGGGAATGATTTTGATGTGGAAAATATTACTGCATGTAGGTCTTCTTTAAATCCCATGAAGTTATTAGGAAATCCCCAAATTTCTACAAATTAAACTGCCTTGGATAAATAGTAGTTATAAAAATTATGATGTTTATTTGTAACCATCATTGTTTGCTGTCTCAGCTATTTAATCTTTTTTTTTTTTAAAAAAAGAAAAAAAGTATCATTAGAACAAATCAGAGATTAATATTCAGCTTCTAAATTTCTCCCATTGCACCTCATGCCTATGGTTACGTACTTTGGTAATCATGTTCTCCACCAACTCAAAAAGGCCATCATTATTTGCATTATTTATCTTCAGAATTGTTCATGAGTTTTTTGATGGTCACTGATAGAAGAAAATCTAGGCTGTCTGAAGAATGTAGGAGTTTTTTTTTTTTTGACCTAATTATGGAATCTGTTAGGTTCAACCTGCCTTCTATATCATTCTATCTATATTTCTAAATAACAATTCAGGAAAACTACCAAAAATAATATATAATTAAATCAAAATTTACATTGCATATAAGAAACACAGAAGAATACAGAAACTTCATACATCCTGAAAGGTATTTATGATGTACCTCTCCCTTTTCAGGTAGTGATTAAAAAGATATATAAAAATAAAGGAAAAAACTCTTATATTTCAAATTATTCTGACTGAAAAGCAAATTGTCATTAGCACAGCAATCATGAAATAGTAATGCTTATCCTAGATTCCAATAACCTACATCAATAGGATGATGAGACACAACCCTAGTTATGTGTCCATAGCAATCTCATCTTGTTCAGGTCATACTGTCAGAGGAATTTCTTTAGGGCATGAGTACTATCTAAATTGTATCACAACATTCCCAGGAAGCATAGAATAGAATTTCAGGTCAAAGTTGGTTCTTTCTCTTTCTGAACAATGAAAGTGCCTAGTTTTTCCATCTTAGCTCTAGACATTACTACCACCACTTCTTTCTTCAGCATGACCCTTGAACTGCCATTGCTCTTTCCCATAGTTATGCCTTCAGTTCTGATTGCTTCTTTTCCCAAAAGATCTCAATATAAAATTGTTCTGAAATAAATCTGTTTTACACAGAAGTATAACAAGGAACATTGGGCACCTTTCCAATGCCAACTGAAGTGGCAATGGAAGCCAATCTCTTCTCAGATCTCTACAATGCTTTAGCACTGGTATTTGTCATGATATCGTAATTGGCTGGGAATTAGAAATATTGTTTTCCCTTTCTAGAATTAGAATGTCTTCTAGTGTGACCTGTCTTTCCCAGTACACTTACTCTGCTTTGACTGTTAAGTTTTAAGTTTTATTTAATTGTTTAAACATGTGGTTTGCAAGAACCAGCTAGAAAGCACTCTGCTTGATGACAAAAGTCCACTCTAAAGGTTTATTGTCTCTGTTCCTATTAATGGGAACATATTTGGAAAATAAAAAGAACATCTAAATGGTATTGACTAGTCTGTACTATGTTGCACTGAACTATTTATCTTTTGTGCATCTTATTACTTTCTTCATAATAAATTAAAATCACTTATGAAAAGTATCCCATCTATATTAACTTCATTTTACAACTATCAGAGATGGTTCATAGATAAGGCCATTGTTTTACATTATACTGTTACTTTCAGTTTTTGTAACTGCTGTAAATTACTGCCCTTTAGAGAGAAGCAACATATTGAAATGTCTTGATGCCTTGGAACCGTGCAATAATAATGGCTTTGCTGTGTACTTCACATATTGCCTATATTTTGTTTTTGACATGTACAGTATTGTGAATTGTATTCCTGTATAATTTATCTTACATCAGCCATAAGTGCCATGAACAGTTTTATTACAGACAGCTGTTGCATAACCATCATTGGCAATTCAGCTCTAGGTTTATGCTGTCATTACAAACTTTTGTCCACCTGTTCTTACCTAGGAGATAGTTGTGCATAATCTTCTTCCAGTTCATTTAAAGTCTTGAGTTTTTTGTGAACATTTTATTCCTATCAGATATGAGGCTAATGTTTATAAATGTAAGCTTCCACATGGAAATGTGCACATCTAGAACATAAAATAATGAAGCCATAGTGGCTCAGTAATTAGAATGCAGTATTGCAGGCTAACTTTGCCCACTGCCAGGAGTTCGATCCCAACCAGCTCAAGCTTGACTCTCTCCATTCTTCCATGGTCAGTAAAAGAGGACCCAGATTATTGTAAACCACTCAGGGAGTGCTGTAAAATACTGTGGAGCTGTATAGAAGTCTAAGTGCTATTGCTATAATGTTATTTTCACACTGCAGCAAAATGAATAAAATCCGAAGTTATTCTGTGCTTTTCAACTGACACCCCAGAATTATCTAACAAGCTTTCTCCACCATCACCAAATACAATAATGTAAGGCTTTAGATAACTGGGACAATCTTTATTGTATTGTTGTATGTTGCCCAGAGTCATTTTCCATGAGAAATTTGATTAATAAATTAATTAATAAATTTTAAAAAAATCCTGAAGTCCAGCATGTCCGGTACAGCTTTGACCAATACATTTGCTTAAGAACCCTTCCTCTAAGCTGTATGACTGTGCTAGGCAATAGCAGGATTGTTACTAGACATTCGGTATAGTCATCCAGTCTGCATGTCATAGCTTATAGATAATATAAAAGAGAATCTCCTGAAGCTTTAGTTTAACTATGTCTGACTTTCCTTCAGCTTAGTCATATCAGATAAGGGATCAAGTAGAAACTTTGCTTTAAGCCTTGGAAGCTTTGCAGAGATGTACCATATGGGCAAGTGCAGAGAAGTACTTTGCTACTGGCGATGCCTGCCCATAACTATGACATCTTTCTAGACTTGGGCAAAAAGTAAGCAAAATTTTCAGCAAACACTGCTATATTAATTGGTTTCTGATATATCAGAATTGGACTGCTCATGTTGATTCTTATCCGTAAAAACATTTATAATCTGGATGCAGGATTTTTGAGAGAGACATTTTTTTAATCCAAAAATAAAAATTCATTATTTATATACATCTTTATTATTCTGTGTAATGTTAAATTTATTTAATTTATATTTTCACTGAGTACGTTGGGTCTTTTCTGCACAATGTTCTCTAGTGTTATTCTCCTCTGTGAGAGCTATCAAGATAGTACGCTAGCATAAAAATTTGCTGCCTGCATTTTCATCTCCATTCTGCTATGTGGCAGATGAGAGATTCTGTCTGCAAAAGGAGTGGGGTGAGGATGGAGGCAGGCTAGAAAATATCTTTTTAGGTACCAGATCATCTGCAATCAATTCTCCAAGGAATACAGAATTAGCACTAATAATTAGCCATTATCCCTTACTTCTCTTTTCCCATTTTCTTGCCAGCCATGGTAAGAGATACAGAAGATAGCAAAACACTCTCTTCAACACTTCTCTTGGTAGGTTAAGTGGAGGGAAGCAGGACAATGATCTATGGTGGGCAGAAGATGTGCTCCCTCCTTGACATATATAGGGGTGTACTTTTGACACATGTCCACCTGTCTTCCAGAACGCTGATGGACACATATCAAAAAGTACATCTTTCCAACCCTCTGAATCAGACTCTCCTATGTATTCTCTGCTAGGGCTGGGTGGATAGGCTTACCCATATCTGTAATTGATAAGTAAGTGGTGTCTTCTCTATATATGCATGAACAAACACATGACTTTGATCATTTCCTCAAATCCTGTAGTTTGGGGATCTGCTGCTAGGATCTGCCAGTTGTCAGGAAAACTGGGAGGGTTGATTGTCTGGCATGACAACAAACCCCCATTCTGCTGTCAAAAATGGTTGGCTGTAAACACTATTAATCACAGAAGCTATGCTTGCCACAGTCTCAGGTGCTGAAAAAGGAGAAAGGCACATATTTAAATATATCTCTGATGGCAAGGATTGTGTTAGCTGAAACGGAAAGCAACACATTGATACTAGAAAAGGGAAAAAAGAAAAAAGAAAGAGCATTGTAGGTTGATTTCACAATTGGCCAGGGGTGATTGAAAGATTAACTAGTCCAGGGGCCTTCAAACTTGGCCCTTTTATGACTTGCAGACTTCAACTCCCAGAATTCCTCAGCCAGCATGCCTGGCTGAAGAATTCTGGGAGTTGAAGTCCGCAAGTCATAAAAGGGCCAAGTTTGAAGACCCCTGACCTAACCTTCTTTCTGTTCCTGAAATGTATCTTCCAATCTTGGTTAGAAGCTCCTAAAAAGCATCATTTCTTGAAGCACATTTCCTTGGAAGCAAAATTATAAAGATTTTTTACCACGGAAGTCCCAAAGGTGCTTTATCAAAAGATGCAACTGGGCTTTCTTGTTTTTGTTTTGTTTCATTTCTCATCCAAGTTCTAAAGAGAGTTCTTGCATGAGAAGACAAACATTTTCAAAGGGGAAAAAAAGCCAAGAAAGTCCAATTGCCTTTCAGAAAAGCACCTTTGTGACTCCATGACCCCGGAAGATTGAGAATCTTCACAGACATTTTACTACAGTAATTTTCTGATTTGTGACTGTAATAATCATTTGATTTGATCTTCTGTTCTTCTGCATTTCGCCACAGAACTGCACCGAAAACACAGTACACTGGTTGCTCTGTACATGAAAATAACAATGGACAAGCTGCTTTTGAAAACCCCATGTATGACACCAATGCAAAGTCTGTCGAAGGGAAGGCTGTGCGATTTGATCCCAACCTGAACACAGTTTGCACAATGGTATAACATTGCGACGTCCTGACTGCAGTGGTTTGAAGATTGAAATGTGACATAGTGGACCTCTAGTTCACTGGTTTTTAAAAGAAAAAAGAAAAGCACATTTTTCAGGATTTCCTGGATCACCTTCTCCTGAGGATGAGACAGAGACTAGAGTGGGTTTCTTTTTTTCATAAATATATATTGACTTCATGGTTACTGTGGAGTATTTTACAGAACGTCTGCTGCACTCCATGAGTGCTTATTCACAGTTTATTTGCTTTTTTAAAAAAGAAGATTATTCTAAAAAAATAATAAAATAATAACATATTTGCATATATTGGAGGAGCATCCACTCTCAGTACATCTGTGCTTTATAAACTGCTAGAGGGACTGGATTTCAAAGAACAAATTATATGTGATAGGAATTAAGAGTTATATTTACAGGAGACAGCAAGAGCCTATGGCTTCTCTTTAATAGTTACAGGCAAAATCATTCCATCACATCGGGTCTTTAATAACATTTTCCTCTCCTATCTCCCTCTTCACTAACTATGAATTCCTAAGATTATGCCATGATCATCAATATGCTTATGCTTGCAAACATGACCCATTATTTCTGAGCCACAATGGGAAAATTAAGTGTCTGGTCTCAGGTTCTTTTAATTCATGAGTTCCATTCCCTGCTCTGTTCTTTTCATGCAAGCATCTTTTCTTTTTCTTAATGTTACTTGTCCTAATAGTGATCAATTTGTCAGCGATAGAATAAGATTTGAGAAATGCCACAACTGCAATTATCTTGATTGCTGAGATCTATTGCAAAACTATATATTTCACACTGCCCCTCCTTTTCCCAGTAGTTCAATTTTCTCCAAGTGAATAAATGGCAGATTAGAAGAGTAACATCCCACATCTGGACAATGAAGGTGACTAAGTGGTACGTTTCCCATCTCACTTTATCATCCATTTCATCAATTTTATTTCTATACTGTATTAAATGCTGGAGACAGACGTGGTCATCATGATACCATCAATTTGCAGCTGCAAAAATGTAAGTTTCAGCCCACTGATGTCTTTGATGCATTTCTCAAAATTTCCAGAGCTTCCCAGTTCTATGGCAGGGAACAGCATGATATCCACTATGGAATATGCCTGTAATTTTTTTTTCTCCCACAAAAGTTAGTGTGAAGACCTACAGGTCTCCACCCATCAGATTGTACACAGATTCCTGGATTAGGGGTTAATCTCTTACCATTGCACTCTCTTCCTTTATTGGGAAGTACATAACTTCAGGAGTGCATTTACCCTAATTAAAAGAAATTAATTTCCTCTTTAATTTCCTCACATCTACAATTCAGTTTTTGATCAAAAATCATCACCAACTTCTATCATTTTGTATGATAAAGAATCTGTTCTGAGTTTGCCTGATTTTTGAATGTAGTGTATGATTTACACACAAACGTGTACTTTTTTGTCAATTTTAAAATATACATTCTGTGTGAAAGAAGGTAATTTTGGCATTACAATATTAGTCTCATTATTATATTCTTTGCCAAGAAATAATGGGTTTCCGTAAGTGCACTGAATGTTGGGTCAAAGCAATGCCACATATTTCTATAGGTACAAAGGGTGCTGCCAGCACAAATATTTTAAATAAGGCCTGTATAATCTAGTTCACAACCCCATTAAGCTAAAGTACAATCAATTACAATTGAATGGGTCTGTTTAATTCCAATCAGGAGGTTATTTTCCTATTGTTTTAAGGTTCAACAAATCTTGCTTCATAGTAAGTTTGTTTTCAAATGTACTTTAGAATTTTTGTTGTGGAGTTAAACCTTAAATGACACTTGTTGTATGGCAGTATACAGTATAAATTACGGTACAGAAATGAAAATGCTCATTTCTCCAAATCATACTTTCTTTTGTCACCTTTGAGATTCTATTGATCTGTTTCACTCTCATATAAAATAATATAATTTTAGTTTAGATTGGAGTTTTATAATTGAATTATCAAAATACAGTTTGAGTAATGTCCATATCATTGTTCATTGTCTTCCTTTGATAGTATGAAATGATTTTGAGTTCATCAATGCTGTCCATTAGCTGGTGTGAATTATCTGGAAATATTCTTTTCTCAGATACAAACATCTCTATGGGAATATTTTTTTTTATTAATGTAATAAGAGAGTGCCTATTGCCCCAAAGGATCACAAGTTTCCCATTTCCATCCTCCAATCTGTATTAAACTGAGAACTGCTGCTTGGATTTCTATTGTGTTTGATGAATTTCTTAAAAACCAATTTACAATGTGTTTTGGGTTTTTTTTTTTTTTTTTTTGAAAATTACATCCATCTTTCCAGAAACTGTCTTCTACTAAAAGAATGCCATTTTTATGTTTTATACCATCAATTTGTTATTTATTCTGGTTTATTCAAATGATTGCAATAATGATGATTCATTCATTACTGTTAAGGTTAATATTTGAGATTTTGTTTAAAATCTTGTTTCTTCTGCAACTGGCTACTCCTCTTATATTAATGCATACACTTTTGTAAAGAAGTCTATTTTTATGAAAAAAAGGGAATTTGTAAAAGTATGATGTAAATTTTCAGTGCAATGTAAACAAATAAAAATGGATAATTGCTTTTGTAATATGGAGTGTGTTTTATAAAAGATTTAGAACTATAACAGCTGTGGAACTTGGAGTGAAGTCAAATTTGTCAGCCAAGCACTACAACTTTGTGGGAGATATGGCATTTCCTTGCTATTGTGTGTTTGTGTATTTTGTGTATGTGTGTTTGGGTTGCTTGCTAAATGTAAAAATGCTGTAAAGATTTTAAATTACTTCTGAAAATATTCCAGTTAGTAAACATTGGTTATAGATTATACCATTAAATACAAAGAAGCAATTTAATAGAATGAGAATAAATTTTCAGCCAGTATAAATTACAGTATGTTCATCCCTTAGCTCTAAGTAAAGATCCATTATTGAATTGATTGAGATCAATAAGCTGTTCTTCAAGCTTAGCAAAATGCATGTAGTAGAATAAAGCTGTATTCAGGAATTGTAAAATTAGATCTATACTTCATACAATAACACCCTTTCATGATTTCATTCAAATGAAGTCTAACATTTCAGGTTTTATGCTATGGAAGATAATAAGAATTTCATGTTCTTTTAATGCTATGGAAGATAGTAGAGCGACATGGTGTCCCAGTGATGAAGTTGCTTGCCTGCCATTCAGTAGGTTGAGAGTTCAATCTTAGGCAGCAGCAGATGTTTCTCTAACAGGAAGCAAAGAGAAAATATCTGCTGTGAACTCTCATAGGCATCAGAAAGGGCATCCAGCCAGTAAATGCTCAGTTCCATTCTACCCCAAATTAAAGGATTACAGAATTGTACAAAAAAAATGCTATGGAAAATAATGAATAATTTCATACATGGAAGCATAGGAAATTTCATGCAGCGTTTCTACTTTCATCTGAATTGGGCATTATAGATATTTAACCCGAACTTGTGACATATGTTTTGTTGATGACATTACAGTTCCTAGCAACCCTGCCAACTTTTCCTGTGGTGGAAAAAATGGAATTGGAAATTGCAATTTGTATGTAAAAAAAATCAGTTTACCAAAATGATCAAGATAAAAATTGTTACTTGGATAAATTATTATTTATACTGCCTAGTTTTTCTGATTATTTAAAATAAATTACACACACACACACACACACACACACTGATATAAAATCCTCGAACTCTGGGAAGGATATAAACCAGCTGTTTATTGTTAAAAAATAAAACAATAAAAACAACTATTTACAATACTAAAAAAAAACCTTAGCTTTCGCTGGTCCACTGCCAGCGTCATCAGAGTGAGTGTTGGGGGTGGGGAGTTTTCTTATAAGGTTGTTTTTAGTATTGTAAATAGTTGTTTTTATTGTTTTACTTTTTAACAATAAATAGCTGGTTTATATCCTTCCCAGAGTTTGAGGATTTTATATCATTGTACAGATATGACTGGAATTCGTATTTTTATAGTCATTAGGGATATATATATATATATATATATATATATATATATATATGCCTTGATTGGGGTTTTTTTACGATACACCCTGTCAGCCCAAATATGGGAAAAAGAAATACACATACACACACACACACACACACACAATATGATGGGATTCAACTGGTAGCTAGCTATAATACAAAGGTAATGTCTATTGAATGTAAGGAATGGTTTTGTATTCCTAATTGCTGCTAATATAATATCATCATGGTCTGACTTAGATTTCTATATTTTGGATAATGGAGGAACAGAACTCTTTATCATTCATTGCCATCTTGCTTGTTCTTATGCTTAGAATTCCATATATTTGCCTATTTGTTGTTTTAACAATTTAGTTGTGTCCAACTGTTTGCAAATTTATAGGCAAGTGCTCTCCATTCTACCCTGTCAAGCACAGCTTCTTTCAATTGTTGGTTGTTCAATTTTGTATCAGATTTTAAATTAAGCCAGCATGTTCTTTGTTTGCCCTTTCTTCTTTGTCCTCTAACCATTTCTAACATCATTGCCTTCTCCAATAAATTTGCATGCATGACATGGCCAAAATCAATGAGACATAGCCTTACAATTTTTAGCTTCTGATGATGTGTTTGGTTTTATATGATTTAAAAGTTGTCTGCTATTTGTTATCTCAAATATATCTGAGATATTTGCCTATATCACAACCAAATTCTATATTTATTGATTGGTATTCCTTTAGATGCTCTTTAACATATTGTATATCAAAGTGATGTAGTGGCTACTAGCTTGGTCAACTTCAATAAAGAGTTGGACCGATGCATTGAAGTCATGTGAATCAATATTAGCCTTGATGGCTATGTGACTGCCTCTATAGACCATCTGCTGACTTCTGCGTGTCCTTGTGGTTGGCCCATGTGAGAACAGACTGATGGATGAGTGGGTCAAGACAGCAAGGCACTGCTTATGTTTTTATTGGATTACAATTGACTTCATTTGTATGCCAGCTACTTTCAAGGTTCAGGTGATTCAGGGTTATAAAAATAAGGTAGACATACTGGTTGTTCAATTTCTGTCTACCTCAACAATTTTCAAATATAAAATTAAAACATTTAGAAAGTTCTCATATTACGTTAAAGAAGGAAAAGTACCCAAAGGAATGAAGGAAACTTGCACTGCTCTTAGAAAGTTCCCAAATTCAATTATTTCCTACCTGATTGCATGTTTTTGAGATAGAGCTGATGTATAAAATGGACATTCAAATGCTCTAGAGAACATTTTGGTAATGAAATATAGGAAACTCAAAAGAGCAAAATGAGGCAACTCTTCTTTTCCTGCACACATTTGCTTTTGGTATTTAATTTTTGTACCTAACTATTTTTAGGTGACTCTTGATGTCCAGTTTCACCCAGGTTGTTATTTACCAATTTCAGGTTTATTTTTCATTTCTTCATTATCATAAATTATACCCCCTTTTCAGATTTTAATCAATATTTGTATAGTATTGTTCTTAATACTGTATATCCCATTCTGAATATTGTCTCAAATACAAGGCATTGTTGTATATCATTTTTTCCAACAAGACATGCATTTGTTATGTGTTTTATCTGATGTATATTTTTATAAAAAAATGGATTCATTCTTTGGGTGGTTGTGCTGAAATCACCATCACAGAAGTCAAAAAAGTATGAATAACAATGCATCACTGTTGAATTGCAAATAGGTTTAGAACTGCTTTGTAAAGAGTTTTAAACTGTATCAAAACTTATATATTTTTTTCATTTATGTCATATGAACTTGTGCACTGCAAGAATATCTAAAAACAATTCAACCAAAAATATTGGCATTTTCAGTATCTACCCAACTGAATCATTTTCTAAAAAAAAAAAAAAACATTGTTCATAAACTCAAAAGAAAATAACAAAATAGGCTTTTGAAAAAGCTACTTCTTTTAACATAAATCCAGCTCTTTAAAATATTTTAAATAGTCATATAGAAAAGCAATTTCTATTCTTGTTAAAGTCATTTGCTAAAGTGTAGAACAAACCTCACAAGTATTAGCAAAAGCTGAACAATTGAATAATAAGGAAAGAAAATACAAAAATAGGAAAGTGGCTTCACTTATATATTTTTTCTTTTCATATTAATTTCTGCTTTGGCAGTGGGTAGTCTAAACACAAACTCCGCAAGGATATGCATCTCATTTGCTGCCACTCTGATGAGCACATAAGAAAGGATTATTCCCCCCCCCCAATGTACTGTATACAATAGGCACCATTTTGCAGATTTCTGTAAGTTACATTTTACACCTGCAAATTGTGTTAAGATTTATTATCTTACATCCACTCCTCATTTAGTGACTACCCCAGTTAGTGACCATTCACAAATACAATGGTAATGAATGGTAATAAAAAAATCATTTCCAATCATTTTCCAAACAATGAACATATTTGCAACCAAATTTCAATGCATGCACAGCAACCATTTTATAGACATAATATGCAAAAGTTTATAATAGGATGTAATAGGATATATTATGCATAAAGTACCTCAATAATCATTGTTAATTGATTCCGACAGGTGCAATGAGTATCAAAATGATGTGTACCAAACAAATTTTTCCACTAAGGAATAATGTAGTGAGTCACAAGACAGTCAATGCTGACAGGTTCTAGCTTGTGTGTCAAGTACCAAACAAATGATGAGTACCAGGATAATTTTTTACGTCAAAATGTGTTGAGTACCAAATTTGATGAGTTTCAAAGCAGTTGAGTACCAAAGTATCACTGTACATAATAACATAATATGCACGAGAAGCATTTAGTAGAAATAGTAGGAAAACACAAATGTCTAACCTAGCATGAGATAGTAGAATTTTGTCAAGAGGAATATAAAATAAAAACAATAGAAGAACTGGTGGCAGAAGTCTATAGCTGTCAATGGCTTCCTTGTTTATAGTTATTAGATTTTAAGTAGGCAAAAGAATTTATGGTTTTCAATATTTTCAGACTGACTTTGAAATAGAATTGTGTACAAATGATGAACATGTAATTGCTAAAATGTATAAAGCTTTATTTGAAACAGAGAAAGAATAAGTAAAAAATATGATTTTTTTTTGTCCCTGGTCAATCATGTCTGGACAGGTTCCTGCAGTTTTATTGGCAAGATTTTTCAGAAGTGATTTACCATTGACTCCTAAAGCTGAGAAAAGGTGACTGGCCCAAGGCCCAAGCTGGCTATGTGCCTAAGTCTGGATTAGGTTCACTCAGGTTCTAACCCAATGCCTTCACCACTACATCAAACTGTATAAATAAATTTAAACTATAAATTTTCATTTAGATTTCAAGAACAACTGAAAGAATGCATAATATATTATGCTAAAAATTTTGGTTATAATATATAGACAAAACAATAAGAAAATACAAGGCTGAAAGGATTGACATTTACAGTATGTTATAATCGTAAAGAGAATTTTTATAAACTGATGCACTGTTGGAAGATGTTACCAGAAAAATTGTCTAGAATGTATAGAAGGACGTCAAATACATGTTTAAAATGTGAACACTATCAGTGTCTATGGTTGATTGGAAAGTCCTTTTGTGTGTAAAACAATGAAAAAATAAACAT